TAAGACTGATGAACCTTATTATCGTAACAGGGAGCAAAGATTTATGATAAAAACAACAAATAATGATCAATATAGAATCATGGTTAAGAAGACTATTCCCTATATTGAGGTTGCACAATAACGAGATCACAGGTAACACAATTATAAGAGAGTGGAGCGAATGAGCTTTTGGAAACTTTTGCATCGTAAACCCACAAAAACCTTCATTCTTACTTTACTCCCCTCCATATTTTAGCGGCGCATATAATCCTTTGTGTTATCATAATCTTGTATTCCATTCTCCCTTTTTCTTTCTCTCTTTTGCTTCTTTGCACCTGTATCTTTGAGCAGAAGCGGCCCTCCCGGGGGGTAGGGGGCACAGTCAGGCACGTAGCCACGGGAGGGGGGGGGGGCACTTGCCCCCCAAAGATTTCCAAGATCGGTTGAACTTTTTTATACCCCTTTTTTTTACCTCGATCGATTACATGTATGTGCCCCCCCCCCCACAAACATCAAACTCTGGCTACGTGCCTGGGCACAGTGCCCCCACTTTTTCAAGCAACCGAAAAGTGCACCTTTAACTTCGTGAGAAGTGCCCCTTTTTACATAGGAACTCTTCCCCTTTTCAACTCTGACAAGTTCCCTTTTTCCTTTGCAATAAGTGTCCATTTTTCATTATTATAAGTGCCCTTTTTAATCTCTAATAAGTGCCCCCTTAACCTCTGATAATTGCCCTATTCAAATCTGAGAGGTGCCTCTTTTACTTTGACAAGTGCCCCTTTTCCTTTGTAATACGTGCCCCTTCCCCTTTTAATAACTACCCCCATTTTAACTCGGATAAGCGCCCCTTATATTTTCACATGTGCCCCTTTTTCTTTCCAAACAGTGCCTCTTTTCCTAATGATAAGTGCCCCATTAAAACGAGCCTCTTTCTTTTCTCATAGGTGCCCCTTCTCTGGTAAATGACCCTTTTCAGTTACTCCTTTTCACTTCAGATAAGTGCCACCTTAACCTCCGATAAATGCCCCTTTAAAATTTGACCGGTGCCCATTTTCTTTCAACTAATGCACATTTTCCTTTATTATAAGTGCCCCTTTTTCATTCACATAAGTGCCCCTTCTCATATCTGGTCATTGCCCCTTTTAATTCAGATGCGATAAGTGCCTCTTTCCACTTCTGATAATTTCCCTTTTAACAATATACGTGCCCCTTTTCCTTTCTAATAATTAAGGGACCTATCCCCTTGTTTATTCTCGCCTTGTTACTTTTTTGAATTGTAATCATGTTTTCTCCGGCTCCCAATTTGGATTTCGCAAGAACCACTCAAACGCGCACGCACTTCTATTATTTATCAATAAGATTGCAAATGCTATCGACAATGTGTCACATACTGCGGGTATTTTCCTGGACCTCTCCAAGGCCTTCGATACAATTAATCACGATATTTTACTCCATAAGTTATCCCACCATGGTGTTCGAGGGAGGGCCTTGGAGTAATATTGATGTCACGCTGGATCGTACAGGTTGTTTTTTTATATACAGACTTTTTTTTTGGTTATTTTACAATGCCATTGATTTCATCAATTTGCTTTCTCTTCTTCTTCTTCTTCCACTTCGTGTCAGGGGCGGATCTAGCTTTTTGCTAAGGGGGGGGGCAGTGGCGGATCCAGGGGGGGGTTGGGGGGGTTGCAACCCCCCCCTTGGGCGGCCAAAAAAAAAAAAAAAAAAAAAAAAAAAGGGAAAAAAAAGAAAAAAAGAAAGAAAAAAAGAAAGAAAAAAGAACGCACGCTGGAGAGAAACCCTTTCAAGTGCAAATATTGTGAGAAGATATTCAACTCATCTGGTAACTTAACCAAACACATGATAACTCTGGATATAACTATGTATTAAACTGTTACTTGATTTAAAAAGACGTTATCATGCACTGCTTTTTATGGTCTCCATTGTGTTAATAGATGCCAGGAAAACATCACTTACGGGGTTCAAATAAACACCCCCCAAAAAATCGGCTCGCCGCTTCGCGGCTCGTGGACGATGCTCCGCATCGTCATTATTTTGGTCAACCCCCCCCTTAGCAAAAAGCTAGATCCGCCCCTGGGGGTTGACCAAAATAATGACGATGCAGAGCATCGTCCACGAGCCGCGTAGCGGCGAGCCGATTTTTTTTTTGGGGTGTTTATTTGAACCCCGTAAGTGATGTTTTCCTGGCATCTATTAACACAATGGAGACCATAAAAAGCAGTGCATGATAACGTCTTTTTAAATCAAGTAACAGCTTAATACACAGTTATATCCAGCCTTTTTATCATGTGTTTGGTTAAGTTACCAGATGAGTTGAATATCTTCTCACAATATTTGCACTTGAAAGGGTTTCTCTCCAGCGTGCGTTCTTTTTTCTTTCTTTTTTCTTTCTTTTTTTTTTTTTTTTTTTTTTTTTTTGGGCCGCCCAAGGGGGGGGGGGGGGTTTGAACCCCCTAAACCCCCCCCCCCCCCGTAGATCCGCGCCTGCGTGTTCGTCTTCCTTTCCTTCTTCACCTTCTCCTACTTATCATTATTAAATTATTTTCTTTACTCTTTATTCTATTTTTCTTTTCTTCTCAAATTCTTGTACGTCTCTAGAATCTCATACTATACTACTCCGTTTTCGCCTCCTATAATACCTTTTAAATTCAGACCTACTATATTGTGTACTCAGTACGGTAGCCTATTCACATACATGCCATGCTTTTTATTTAGGCTCCTCACATTTTACATTGTTTTTTACCTTGCCTGCAGGCGCGGATCTACGGGGGGGGGGGGGTTTAGGGGGTTTAAACCCCCCCCCCCCCTTGGGCGGCCCAAAAAAAAAAAAAAAAAAAAAAAAAAAAGGAAAAAAAAAAAAAAAAAGAAAGAAAAAAAAGAAAGAAAAAAGAACGCACGCTGGAGAGAAACCCTTTCAAGTGCAAATATTGTGAGAAGATATTCAACTCATCTGGTAACTTAACCAAACACATGATAACTCTGGATATAACTGTGTATTTACTGTTACTTGATTTAAAAAGACGTTATCATGCACTGCTTTTTATGGTCTCCATTGTGTTAATAGATGCCAGGAAAACATCACTTACGGAGTTCAAATAAACACCCCCAAAAAAATCGGCTCGCCGCTTCGCGGCTCGTGGACGATGCTCCGCATCGTCATTATTTTTGTCAAACCCCCCCTTAGCAAAAAGCTAGATCCGCCCCTGGCCTGTTATATCTAGATATTTCGAAATTTTGTACTTATTTTCCGTACATTATACTTGATTTGAAATCTTAAATTTTGTTTTCTTGTGTGAAATCTACTCTTAAATGATAAACGCCTGTATACAAAAATAAAAAAAGTTAAACAAAATTAAACTTTCTTATGTAAAATGTGGAATAAATAAACTTCAAACTTCAAACTTCAAACTTCATAAATGCCCCCCTTTCACCTCCTATAAATGCCCTATCAAATTCTGATGGGGGCTCCTTTTCCGTCGACATATGCCCATTTCCTGTTCTCATGACTGACTTTTTTCATCCCTGGTGAGTGCTTCATTTATTTGTATGTCATATTTTATTGTACTTTAGTCTTCAATTTATTCATTTAATTGTATTTCGTTTTTTAATTTATTGTTTGTTTGTATAATTAATTGTTCAAATTTTGGTTGTGATATATGGAAATAAATTCAAATCAAATTCAAATCAAATGTAGATATGTTCCTCTTTCCTTTTGTTTTTGTACTCTCCCGTCTGCCCCCCCCCCCCATTTCTCTAAAGATATTATCTATTCCAAAAACAAATGCCTTACAATTTTCTAAATTGAATTATATTGTATCTATTTTATTGTTATACATATATCCACATAATAATACTACTCATTAACATGTGAATTTGGTTGATGATTATCCAGTTTCGTTAACAACGAAACAGTTAAGTCTTTCTCATATAGGAAGTTAAATGGTTTGATTCCAGTGGAAGATAGCTTCGGCAATGATTTCATTTACTATTGTGGTTGCAATGGAGAAGTCCTTTCCATTATTTTGGGGTCCTGGGAAGTGTTTCACAAAGACTAAGATCGCATTTAAGTTTGGACTTAACTATGGTAGGCCATTCATGCCACTGGTTGCGCTCACTATTGATCTCTCAATTATGATCTTTAGATAATATTTTTCTCTTCAATAATGAACTATCATTAAATGTAAATTCTGTAGATTTGTGACCACGATTTATATGTCCCTTGAGAAACCAATGCCAGGAATGGTTGGAGGAACTAGTGACTTAAAGTCGATCTTAGTATTTGTGAAACACCCCCCTCCTCAGATGCTTGAGACGGCTGCATGCTTTAGGGGGAAAAGAATAACCCCTTGGGGAAAATAATGGCTAACACCTTACCAGGCAATATCGTAAACAAACAAAATTACCAGTATTCAGTAAGGGGTAATAATTTAAGAGATATTTAAAAACCAAAGTTTCTAACTTTCAATCTACAATGATTGCAGCCAACATAGATATAATGATTTACCAAATATATCCATTAGTAGGCGGTTTCCCAGCAAAATTTGTATCATCACATATTAGTCAAAACATATTCTTTCACATGATAGGTAATAGAGCTTCCATTTCATTTTTGAGAGGCGTTTCCAAAACTTACCTTTAAACTTCCTATTTTTTTGTCAGCAATACAATCAAGAATATTCTTGAAAACAATTATTCTAACATCAAATTACAGAAATCTGGGAGGTTAGTTGTAGTAAACGAAAGATACTTATTTTCATTGATTCATTACAGGATCTATCCGCTCTTGTTGAGGCTTTAAGCACCTTTTGGTACGAACTTACGAAGCCTATAATAGATGCATAGTTTGAACTTTGATATCATTTGTATAGTATTAATTACCAAGAAGTTACCAGCTTGGTATTACAGCTTCATGTACAGTGTATATATCAGTAATAGTGTGTCGGTCGGTCAATCTATACATACACAGTCATGTCAGGAGAAAAAACTCATATAAATTTTTCTCAAGAACAAGCTTAGGTTATTATTGCATGAAGATCAGAGGTTCAAGATCAGATATATCAGATAGGACATGTACAGGGTTGACTTCTGGGTGCTTCTCTATGAGCGTACCTTCCCGATCGACGAGGTATGCATCCATTCCGACGGCTCTTGCTGCATGATAGTCTAATTTAACATTATCTCCTATGTGAGCACAGAGCCCAGGTTCAATATTCAGTCTTTCTAAAGCCATATTAAAAAATTCTGCATCAGGTTTTTCACACTTTGCCAAGGCTGATGGAAGAATGAACGCAAAATGCTCAGCAATATCCACTGCTTTCATCACACTCATTAACCGTTCGTCGTTGTTCGATAGCACTCCAAGTGCGATTCCATTGCGGTTTAAAAAAATCAACATCTCCTTGACTTCAGCATATGTTTCCCATGTTTGGCTTGTTTTGAAGTCGTTGAAGAGTTTAGAGGACACCTTATCAAGGGTTTCCTTGTCACAATCGCATCCTGCAGCGTGAAAGGTACGATGGACGACCTCACCCCACCACTGCTCCGTCGTCTGGCTGGTGGTGACTCCAAAGTTGGGATGCCGGCAGAGCTGGTCTTTGTAAGCGATCCTGAATTCTCGATCAACGTCGTAGACCTTAATGTTGACTCCGAACTGCTTGGCCACCTTCCTGTACTGGTCTCCGACAGAGTTCCTCACCCTCATCAGGGTGTTGTTCACATCAAAGGTCAGAAGTCTGTATCTCAACATGATGGACGTTGTCTCAAGCTGCCAAATTAAGGCAGCATGAAAGTGTGAGATCCTACGGCCGGCTGCGTGCATCAATGTACAGTGTAGAAAAAGAAGAAAATATGATTATGAATGCAGAAAACTCAGACAATAAGGCTTTGGGAAAGTAACGGATTAAATGTGTTGTATGTACTATGGTTGTATCTTTTGAGTTTTGGTAATCACTCAATTATTGCAATTTGGAATTAGAATGATGACCATGATGTTCACAAAGCAATCAGGGAATCACTATTATAAAAATTAATCCTAAATTTTTAACTGACATCTTGACTTGAGTTGAAGTTGAAGTTAAAAAGGAAAATGGGAAAAGGTAGGCATTATTTTTACTTCTAGATCATTTATCAACTAACAGACAATTAAGGACTACACACTTACGTAATTACTGTCGAGTAATTCTATGAATGATATGATGTCTACTCCTGAGTAGTGTACAGTACATGTAGTCTACTATACAAAGCTACGTCTGCTCATGCATGTGGATGATTACGAACTGTTGTTGTTACCAAAAGTAGGCGGGGTCTCTTTTGTGCCCCTAGCCCTACCTAGTCTCTTGCGTAGACCTATCATATATCTGAAAATTAAAATGAATATATCAATAAAGGATTAGTTCCATAGAGTTGTGGAATGAATCGTTTATTGATTTGATATTTTCAAAATGTAAATTTTCCAGTTTTTATTTTGATCAGCCCTAAATATGTTGAAAGATCCATCCTTAATGCATTTCATAAAGCTGTAGTATAGGCCTAGTGCAGCTTGAAATTGTAGACTATATTGGGAAACAAAACATGGCGGCATTTTGAACGGCTTTTCCGGGTTTGTATTTTGAACTGTGGATGAACCACTGTAATCAAACTTCCTGTGCTTACGGTGAGTTTGTATTTTAAATTGAATTTGCATTTTAAGTATCGAATACACGATGAATGTTTTTTTGAAAGTAAGGTTTATTTCATCCCCAAAATCTAACGAGATCATTTGTTCATTGCTGTTTAAATTGTCCCATACGTTGAAAATTGTGTGGTAACTAATGGTATCTGGACGGGGGGGGGGGGGGGGGGATGGGGTGGGCACACATACTGACATAGATAGGTGCATTACTATCCTAGACCGAAAGCTTCAGTCTCTATAATCGTCGGTTGTTCCACTTAGGTTGCGTTTACCTAGGAAATTTTTGGCTAGAATCGGGTTTCTCAAACGTCTTTCGTCTAGTCTTAGTCTAGATAAACGCAAAGCCTTTTTTAAAGGGCTTTAGATATGATTATGGGCAGATCCATATCTAAAGACGCAAAAAGGTGCGTTTTGTATGTCACATACAGCCAGAATCACGTTTCAGAGAGATCGATAAACGCAAAGCTGTTTTGTACCTCACATACAAATATGACCACCCAGGTGTTGTGTACAAGCATGTGTGTTAAGTTGACCTCCGAGAAACTGTCTGCTTCCCGGGTCAAAACAGCTGGGCAGACACAAGGCCTTTATTTTCAATCGGGAAGGGTCGATAAACGCGACATCCCGCAAATCACGATCGTATAGTGGGGTACGATAGTGGGGTTCGATAGTGGGGTACGATATGTACATATCTAGTGGCAAGCCTAGATAAACGCGCTCTGAGACTATACGTCTGGCTCCACTACACCTCCGGTTATAGAGACTGAACGATCGCCTATACCATCGTATGTTGAAGATATCACGGCTAGATTTTAGCCATTAGGCCCCTCCCACAAACATGACAAACTTGCCACGGCCGTATTGTTATGCCCCCAAAATCCCCCAAAATGTCATTTTACCTCGTGTAGACCCTATATCCAATTTTAAATTAGGCCTAGGCTATAATACATTGGTTCCACTTACTAACTTGATTGAAATAATCCGTTTAATGGTCCCTTTTAAGGAAATTATGGGTCAAAATCGACATCCATGTTGAAAATCTTGCAAGCCGTGTTAAACTCTCGCTGCCGTCAATCTCATCCCTTCTAGTCTACGCCGAAGGCAAAATGATTATGAAGGAAAAACTGTGCGCCATCTACACGTTCGTAATGGCGTTATCACAGTTTTTAAATCAGATTTAGGGCCCCGGGAAAGAGCTCAAACTTAGCTCGAAATTAGTCAGTGACGCACAACTTTCTGCACTTCCGCGTTCTGTTAGCACATGCGCTAACATGCATAGCCATATGTAGAAGTCTATTGCGAAACAACTATGTGTGCTGTCGCAATGAATTTAGTATGTGTGAAGAGAATCACTTCCGTGTTCACTCCATCGCAGCGAATTTGCAAATGACGCACTTGCCGATGTGCAAGAGGTATTTATACAATACCCTTGCCATGCGGTATCGCTCGTCCGGTATTCGGTCAACGCATTGACATTTACAGAGCTACCAAGTATGTCACGCATTGCCGATCTTTGAACTTGGCGTCTCTGCATTCAGTGCTTTATCGGGCAATTGTGTGAAAATAGTGCGCAAATACGCTTCGCTCCTTGGCAACGGAGATACCACGCACAAAATCGCGTTACGGAATTCTATTCGGCGCGACCGAATTCTGGGCAGAAAAATGCTCCGTCTTCTTTCGGAAGTATTTTGCTTATCATCATTCTATATTTTTAAGTGACTATAAAATCCTGTTAGAGGAATAAATTTCTTTCCTTTTGATGGGTAGATTGCCAAATAAAAGAGGTAAGAATTCAAAATATTAGCGATTTCCCCTTAAGTGACCGAATACTGGGCGCTCTACCCTAGATCTAGATCTAGATCTAATACCTTTCAAATTTCAAGACTCACCGATATTTCTATCAAAAGAAACAGCCCCTCAAAAACTGTGCAATATTCATAGCATTTTGGTCAGAATGAACAAAAAAATGGTTCACGCAGTGACGCAGAGTTATAATTTTTGCTCAAAAGATAGACAGCTAATGCACAGCACGATATGCAAAGCGTGGAGTAAGGGTATTTTCAAACTGTTGGGGGCTGTGGCATGGATAAGTGCATGGATATATTCTTTACAGCTGGCCCAACTTATCCCTCGGGGGAGCACTTCGTGAAATTGGTAAATCTCTGAGTTACCATGGAAACAATGTTTAAATCGCTGTTTTGAGCAAGATATTTTTTAGAATTTGGGGGGTGACCCCCTGTGGGGAATATGGAGAAAAACCTGCTCTTTCATATGACACCTCACTTATTGAGTATCACCTTCAGGATCACGAGCAATATTGGTTTAAATCTCATTTTGGAAATAAAAACATCGACCAATTTAGCATGAGCGCGAAATGCACATGGACTGCATAGGTGTGTGTGCAATCTCTATGGGAAGGATTTTAGCACACAAAACTGAGTGCGCGATCAGACACCCTATACTTTAGTGACAATTGATATTGATGACACCTATATAGCAGTAAAATACGATTTTTTTTCAACTTTCCGATGTTACTGTTAGAAAGAGTAATTTAAAAATTCAATTTGTGAGTCTACTGTCAAACTTGCCAATCAGCCGCATCGGCATGATTGTGTGCATTTGTATCACGTTTTCATGGACATGGTCACAGAGATGCATAGCTCGCAGTGTCCAAGAATTGTACATAATCTTGACAATGATCAAGATGATTCTATAAGTTATACTGAATTTATCCGGTTGAAGAAATAAGCGTATAATGCCAGGGAAGGGCAGTTTTTATTTACGCGCATTCCGATCTAGCCAGGAAAAAGGCCATGAAAAAGTTCATTGAACTCTGGCTAATTAGGTCACCGCAAAGTATTGTGGGACTGCTAGGTCAACCCGGGATTGTAGTGTCGCGCGCGTCGGGGTAAAATATTCCGATCACGTGATCACTCCTATTTCCGGTTTCTCCCCGGTATGTGCACTCAATCGGAACGGAGTGTGTTTCTACTTACGTTATCCGGTTAGCCTCCCCTGCATTATCCTTCTAAAAAAAGGATAATTTTGCCTGTGAACGGGTAACAGCTCTCCCCGGCATTATCCGGATAATGCCGGAGAAAGTGTGTTTCTATTAGGAAAAATTTATCCCTTATCGGCCATTAACCGGATAATGGCTTTAGATAGAATCACGCTGATAGATCAAGATGCACCAGTGCGCCAGAACTGGCAGTAAACTAATATCTACAATGCTATACCTTGTAGTATAAATATCTCTTTCTATCCACTCTTACATACTTGACATTGCATGGTAGAACCAGGAGCAAGACGAACCACTACAACATGAGTTTGGCCGTTCCTGGAATCCACGACTACACTTATACGTTGTAGAGACTTGACTGGCATCACAATGAAGAGAGGACAGACGGGTGTTATCAAGAGGAGACCTGGCGCTGGTCCATCGAAGAAGCTCCCCAAAACACCCCAGAGAGCTGCCCCTGTTAAAAAGGCACCTCCTACAGAGAACAGAGATGAAGAGAGTGAGTGTTTTTAATTTTTGTTTTTCTGATTGTTAATTTTCAATTGTAATTTTTGTTTGATATTGTTTTTCTAGATATTTCATGAGCAATATTGTTCAAGCGAAGGGAACTATCTTGACAAGACCTGCTTGGTCTTTTATGGTACCCTTGATTCCATGTATAATGATTTGCATCTTTGCTTTATTTCTGATTTGTATGTGTACATGCATATGCTTTTATTGGAATTAAATGAAATTGAAGTTGAACTTGTCTTTACAATATCATACAAAACATGTAAGTGAAGTACCTCACTGGGTTCTGAGAACAAAAATAAACAGTTTATCTGAGATGATTTTAAAATGAGAGAATTTCCTTCCAACTTAAAAAAACAGCACATTAAATGTGACATCCACATGTTGATAAAGATCCAAAGGAAGCTCGTAAATCATTCTTCAGTCTTCACCTTTACATAAAATCAATCACTCGTAGTCGAGTGGTGTAAGCACTTGACTTGAAATTCAAAGGTCGTGGTTCGATCCTCGATACGGCACTAATGTCCTTTGGCAAGGCATTAATCTTCATTTGCCACACTCGACCCAGGTGAGGTAAATAGGTACCTGGCATGAATTAATTTCTTGAAATGCTGGAGCGCTGTAATGGCAGCTACCGTAGGCTAAAGCGGGGGTAATAATTAATGCGCCTCGGAATAGAATTTCTAGATAGATGGCGCTATAGAAATACCTATAATTAATTAATTAATTAATCTTTGTTATTCAACTGCAGCATCCCCATCAAAGTCTCCGGTTCGCTACATCACAGAGGGTCTGATCAAACAGACTACAGGGAAGGAAAGCCTGAATGATGTGCTATCCCTTCGTCTCACCGTCAGGAAAGATGACGGCAAGAAAATTAGGGTGAGGAATTGTGTTTTTTCACTATCATTGGCATTATTGTTTGGTGAAGATTATGTATATAATACAGCAGTGATTAAAATGTTAATTGCAACATATAACTTACCCTCATAAAAAGAAGAAGAAAAAAGTATAAATGCTTAGTTAGAAGCATGTCCAGCCATTTTACTTCCATTGTATGTGTTTTTTAATCTTTTGTCTTGATACGATCACAATCAGTGGAACATATAACTTACCCTCATAAAAAGAAGAAGAATAACGTATATAAATGCTTAATTAGAGGCATGTCTACCATAGCCATTTTACTTCCATTGTATGTGTTTTTTTAATCCCAGAGCCTTTTGTCTTGATACAATCAGTGGAACAAGACTATCTTTGACTTCACAAATCATGAACCTGCTTTGGTTTCAAGAAGAAAGCCTTGCTTTTCTTTTTCGAAAAATAATAGTACAGCACTAAAGGATTTATTTCTAAAAGCAGGGGTACTTGTCATAGCACTTGCTCTTGCTGAACCTTAATTTAGCTTTTGCCAGACCTGCCAACCAGTACGATTTAGTCGTATTTCGTACGGTTTTAAGAAGCAAATCGACATTATGATATTTCTCAATAAAATATGATTTTCAAAAAAAAAAGAAATAGTTGTTAATAATATTTTTTTTTGTGTGTGTGCAATTTTCAATCCCAAAATGCCCACTCTTTCCTGTAAAGTACCGGTATCCTTCAAGCATCTCACATCAGCAAGTTGGAGAAGTTCATTGGTTCATTTAACACAACAGTCCTGACGTAATCATGCATATTCAACCAATGATCCATACAAAAATTCTTCCTGAATGTAGGAACTGTAAGAGGCATTGGTCCGCGTAACAGTCCTTGTTTAATTTTAAGAATACAACTTTTGTCAGTAAAATACAGCTTTTGGGATTAAAGAATACAGTTTTTGAACTCCAGAGGTTGGCAGGCCTGTTTTGCCTTTAGCCAGCAGCACTCCAAGTACTTATGGATCTTATTTCATTTCTTCGCACAGTACATTGAGAACCTTGAGGGACTGAAGCGGCTCCAGGTCCTGAACCTGTCCTTCAACCAGATCCAGAAGATGGAACGCCTGGCCCACCTGACCCGCCTCAGGGAGCTGGACCTGAGCTGTAACTGCATCGCTCGGATCGAGGGTCTGGAGACCTTGCTCCACGTCCAGATCCTCAACCTGTCCCACAATCTGATTGAGACCATACCGGCTTGGCTTGGCAAGAGGCTCAAGGCACTGAGGGAGTTCCACCTGGAAGGCAACATGCTCTTCTCTGTAAGTAATAGCTAGTTCTTATATAGTGCTTTTCAGGACCAATATATATATTATTACCCCGGTCATCGGATTCAGGCTTACCCGCACACAATGTATGCACAATCTCCACTCCCTGGGGAGCATTCCAGCCAGGCGTAATTTTTACAAGCGCACACTTGCTAATCTAAGCACATTAGCTTGCGCATCCTACCGGGTACCCGTTTAACACCTGGGTGGAGAGTGGCAAATGTAGATCAATGTCTGGAACGTGAACCGCAGACCTTGTGATCCACAGTCCGGTGAGCGGTGACATATCCACTCGTCCACGACACCTCTAAGTGGGAAAGGTGACATTTTTAGAGTCAAGATCTAAGGGGTTACTCATTTATTTATTTATTTATTTATTTGTTATCTTTTGTCCGGGTAGCCCATCCACCAATAAGTAGTGGTCTTCCATGGGGCCCTGAATAAACATGACATATTTACGTCAAAAAGCATAAGGTTTATACAGAACAGTTAAAATAGAATTCCATAGTACATTTAGAAAGATATGACACAGCAATAATAGACGTGGCAAAAATAATACTCGTTTGCAAAATAAACATATATCATTAACCTAGTTCAACAGTAATGCCAATAGAAAAATATTGATTAAGTCGCAATTATAGCTGCCAATCATTCCTATTTTTTGGCCTTCAAGCTATTTTTTTAAACCCTGAATTCATATCTTTTTCTGAAATATTTTGTGTGAAAAATATACAAAATAGACTGTATTCCTAATTTTGTGTTTAAAGATTCCTAATGTTTACATTCATGTCGTGGTCTAATGGATACTTGTAAGTTGCTTGACTATGGCCGACATGTTACACAGTTTGCATCCTTACCATTACGCTGATCATCCATAGCAAGACATGAAATTACATCTGCCACTCTCCACTCTGTTGAAATTAATGGGTATTTTGTTATGAAGAATTACCTGAAAATATTAAGTGCCTCATAGTGGCTCAGCTAAAGCCAGGGCCCGGTTTCATAAAACTTGTTATCAATGCTAATTTTCTATGACGAATCTGCTTTCAGCCAATCAAATACCATGATTTCAGTACCAGTGGCTTATAACAGTTATTGTAACTGTTGATTGATAACAAGTTTTATGAAACAGGGCCCAGGACCATGACAGCATTCAGCACTTTTGTATCCTTTGAATAAAGTGCTATATTGATATAAATCTAGCTAATACAGTTCTGAAATAATAAAAAAGTATCTGAATATAAAAAAGTAACCAGAACATCGTGAAAATCATGATTTAAATGTATTCCAATATAAAACAATTGACAAAGAAAACATCTCTTTTCACCCTTACATATAGAGATGATGAAATTCATGTATAGCATTTGTTTGGAAACAGTGTCAATGCACTATTATTCAAATTTGTTACAAAACATTTGGTTCTATTCTATAAAGACTTATGGCGACAGAGCACTGGCACATGGACTCCCAAAAGACATTGTTACGCTCTTCCAGTATTGCTACTCGACGCGCCCCGTTACAGACATCAAAGTCTTCAAAAAAAGCCTGTAAAACTTATCTTTTTAATAAGTGTTGCCATAAATTGTAAATTGCACTTTGTAAATTGCATTGTTAGGGCCTACGGTCCTGAAATGCGCAGTGGAAGAACTTGTTATTATTTGACTTTTACAAGGAACAAGAAAGATCAGGAGAGCATTTCACAAAACTTGTCATCAGTGACAAATGACAATTTGTGTTATAAGCTACTGAAATCCTTGCTTCTGATTGGTTATGAGCACATTTGTCACTGATTTTTGTTATTTGTCATTGAAAAAAGGCTTTTGTGAAACGCCCCCCTGATACCATTCATGTCACATTTCCTACAGCTGAGCGATGTAGCTCGACTACGACCTCTGAAAGATCTGGTGAGTCTGTCTCTGTCCAAGAATCCTCTGTGCGACCTGGCCCACTACCGCCTCTATGCCGTGTTCCATCTCAGAACTGTAGGGCTGTTGGATAGGCAGCAGGTCACAGAGAGGGAGAGGATGGAAGCGGAGGAGAGGTTTGCTCAAGGTAAGGTGATGATGGTGGTGGTGGTGGTGGGGGAGTTGGTGGTGGTGGTGGTAGTGGGGTGGTGGTGATGATAGTGATGATGGTTATGATGAAGAAGATGATGATGATTGTGTTTTTTGAAAGTGAGTAACCTGGTTATGGTGACTGAATTATATTTAATTTAATTTCGTTTTTGTGGGGGCCCTATTTATAAGCAATTTGCTTCTTTGCGGTCCTGATCATGTATTTGCTTTGTATTTTGTATGAATTCTATTTCTATTGTATGTTTGCTTTTACATGTATATTATGGTTAATAAATTCAATTTAAAAAAAAAGGATATAAAATGATAGCATAATTTGTTTAACAAGTGGTAAACCTACAGATGATAAAATTGATTCTTATTATTTTAATGATAAAGATGATGAACTTCATTTATAATGAAACTTTTGAGTACACGTATACCTGGTAATGCTGATTGCTATTTTATCCATGATGAATATGAAGAATATGATGATGATGAATATGAAGAACATGATGATGATGATAAATATGAGGATTATGATTATAATGATAATGATTATGATGAGGCCTAAAAAAAAAAAATGTTGTATTGCCTTCTTTATAGGTGCCAAAACATGGGTCGGTCTTTGGGCTGATATTTCTTAGTTTTGAATGCCCTTCATACATTTTTTTTCTAAAATACAGTAAAAAACAATATAACAAATTTAAAAGCCGACCGTAGATTTCAAGATTTTTTGGTAGGTCGCAAAGGGCAATGCAACAACTTTTTCTTTTTAGGCCTGATGACGAGAAGAATATAAATGGTTTTGATGAAATTCATGAAATTCATTTTTATCCTGTTATATATTTATTATCTCATATTGTGAATTTTTATTCTGTTTACTCTTAATTTTCCAGGATGCAGACTGAGGGGGGTGACATGCTTTCAAGTAATAGCAATTTCAATTGCTTTTGTCACCCCTGACCAGCAGATTGTATCCTTCTCTCTCTCTCCTCTCCACTTTCTGAAAGCTGTTTGCATGTAGTATGACATTTCTATGTACATGTATTATTTGATTGTTATACTCATTGTGTGTTTTCTGATTGGTCAAATAAATAATAATAAGATGAAATCCATTGAAAATCCATTATCATTGTTTTCAGAGGAGATTGAGAACCTGGAGGTCCAGCTGGAGGCCAGAGATAAGAGTTTCCATGCCCTGGAAGCAGACCACACCACCACCCTGGACGAGAAAAAGAAGACAGAGGGAAAGGCCCAGGCACTGGAGAAGAAGTCCCAACTTGACCAGCAGAGGGTCAAAGAGCTGGAGAGTGAACTCAAAGCAAAGGATGAACTGGTGAGAGCAGGAGAAGTAGGGATGATGTTTGCTGACCATTGTGGTATCACTATGAACATGACGGACAAAGAAAGAGGACAAAATATACAGTTCCTCATTCTACCCTCAACAATTGCTGTGGTAGACAAAGGAACATCCCGTCACTGCTATAATGTAAAAATGTGTAGAACAGGTGTCACATGCATATTCACCTGTTCTACACATTTTTACATAATAGCAGTGAAGGGATGTTCCTTTGTCTACCACAGCAATTGTTGAGGGTAGAATGAGGAACTGTATATTTTGTCCGTCATGTTCATAGTGTATGTGGGTGATGGCTGTTAGGATGGTTGTGTTCGTTGGTGATGGCTTGTAACTCTTAATCTTATACGATAGGTCCTCTGTGCAGTACTTGATATTTCGCCCACTTCTGTTCGCCTGGACCCAGGTCAATAAAATGGTTGGATGGCAGTGCCGGGGTAATGATAGTGGCTGGACCCTCAGGAGGACCATTGTCATTACTGATGAGGATACCCTTACCGATATTGGTTTATCTATTTAAATATTGAATGAAGTAACAAAGGGAAATGGGAGAGAGAAGACATGGAATTTCTGCCAAAAAAAATTGTTATTTTCCTGATGACAGTGCACTGCAAGGTATCCATGTACCGTACTTGAAAAATCTGCAGTATTTAATTTCATCGAGAACCTGAAGTATCGTTCTTGTTTATTTGAAATTAAGGATAAATTGAAGAAATTGACAGAAAGAGAGAAACAATGTTACAGGAACGCAGCAAAGAACCATAATTATAAATCAATGATTCCTTGAAAATTTAACGTTTCACAGTCACTGTTAGCTATTGATTCTGTTGAATACAAAACATAAGTTATTGCATGCATGTCCACATTTCTGTTCTATGTAGCTATTGCTATTTTATGATCTTTTCTATCTTTCTTTTTATGAATGAATGAATGGACTATATATCAACTTGATCTTGAACATGTAGTTGAGACGGAAGACGGCTGAATTGACCAAGGCCTGTGAGAAGCAGTATCGTCTGGAGCAGGAGCTGGCCTTCCATAAGATCGACGCCAAGTTTGAACCGCTCCCTTATATGGCTTTTGTAGACCAGGTAATGAATTTCGATGGCATCTAGCTAAGTTAAAATTAATAATACTTATAAATTTTGTTGATGAATGAAAAACAGTGGATAATTTTGAAATGATATAATGTGGCCTAGAAATTTTGAAGAAGAAATTCTTGTCATATTACCAGTATTGTTATATACATGTAGTATTGTTTATAAGGTGAGATTTTGTTTAATTGTTTTGTTTTGTTGTTTTCCATGCAGATTTTCAAGTTTATTGAGTAAGGCATATTGTAGTGTCATGTCACCTATAAAGCGGAAACTTATCCCAAAATTGTTATGGAATTAAAATATCAATACCCTGCTCCACAGTGATATTTTGCCACTGCTGATTCAGTATGGTCAATGGCATGAACAATATTTAAATCCTGTGTAACAAAGTCATTTAGTTCCAAGAATAATGATATTAAAGAAAATGAAAAATTCCTGGCACAAATCAAACTAATTTTAGAAAATGTTTCTTGTCTGCCTTTAATCAAGCAATTTGCAATATGTACAATTTTATATTTAACCCAACAGCTACTGGATTTTTTGTAAAAATGGCCTATTACACAATGAAAAATGTTGCAATACCGGTATTGCTCTCATTTTGACATTGTTCTGACCAATATGAAACATGCGCTATTTTTTATGCAGAATCCTACTGTGGACATCATAGGTGCTAATTGCTTAAAGTGACTCGGTATCATTGTTGAAGGTTGATGAAAAAATTGCTTAATTTTTGTATAAAATGTTACTTACTATATTCCTTCTACTATACTAACCCTCTGACATGCAAAAAATCCTGAACAAATTCTCAAACCACAAAGATATCTATGGTTTTCTTTGAAGGCGTCGATGTGAGGCACCCTCTAACAGTGATTAACAGTAAATTCTCCCAACAATTTTTGAATTTTCCCAACCGTTTTTCCATGAGAAAAATACATAAAACAGGCTATAAAAATCTGTCAACACTTAACTGTCTGGAATGGAATGTAGAGCCATTTTATTGCTTTGTCACGATTTATATTCACCTAAAATGTAATTAAATTGTCCTTGTCTTGATGCTGAAAAGGCTTTGACAAGTAGCAGAATAGAAGTAGAATAATATATAGTTGGGAGAATTAAGGAATCAATCAGATCAGTTTTTCCCAATTTGTACCATGAATAATGATCCGTTTTCACTCAAATTTTCAGATTATCTTTAATTCTACATCTAGCATTGAAGTCACTACCTTAGCACCACTATCTCTCATCTGAACAATGTTACAAAGTCCCTTTAATCTTGAGGATAATAATAATAATAACGTTTTATTTACCCAGGGTAGCCACTTCAGTTATGAAACTGCTCTTCCAGCGGGCCCTGCATAACATAATATGTTATTACTACCCTTCTCCAATCTAATATGCTGAGCACCTAGCTAGAAGGCAGAAGGTTACTCGGCCGGGGTTCAAACCCACGACATCCCGTTCATGAGGCGGGCGCTCTAACCACTGAGCCACCATGCCCGGATGCTTTTTATTTTGAGGAGAAAAGAAACTACTAAAACAAAATTCTGGTGCTTTACTCCATTCAGGTTGATGGTGGCACGGAAGAGAGTGCGTACATCGGCCAAGCCAGCTTCAGACGCAACGAGTTTGCCTCGGAGCAGTACCTCACCCCTAGGGGCCAGAAGCTGAGGTACCACCTCACCCCGGGGAGTGCAGATGTGGACCCCTCCATGAAGAGACAACTCAACGAGACCCTGGACATTACCTTGGCGGATAAAGAGAAACAGATTGGTAGAGGTGAGAACGATTAAAAACCATCTGAGACATGTTTCTGAAGCAGTAAACAGACCTGCCATCCATTGCGTTTTTCCGGGAATTATTTCGTTTTTTTTCTCTAAAGTACGGTAGTACGTTTTTTCTTCATTTTTTTTTTTTATTTTAAAATTATTTTTTTCAAACATACAGCATATCAACCGAAGGCCCTTAAATTTGTATCACTACTTCAATAGAAAACTAAGGTTAAAACTTACCGGTACTTCAAGAGAAAATTATTCTTGAAGAGAATGAAACGCTGATAATACCAATAACAAAATAACAAAAAAAATTACCTGCCGGTTCTTGTAAATACACTGTAGGTCCTAAAATGAAAATAACAGCATGAGGAATGGGCATTTCTGCATTGGAATTGTGTCGCCTGTGGTTGTAAGTTTTGTTTTAATCATTTCCTTCTTTTTTTGTTATTTGAAATTCCTCTCTTTTTTTGCCATCATGGTTCCTTTTTGGGGTTGCACAAGGTTGGCAGCTCTGAGTAAACCTCTTTGTAAAAGAAAAAAAAAAGAGAAAAAAATGCTGTGGCAAATACAACAATTGTTGAGGCTGTTGAAAATACACATAAGCATGGGGGTGGGGGGATATCCATGTCCCCATGTGCGTATATGTTTACATGCAATCAACACATACCTTGGGTTGGACCAATCCATAAGAAGACAAATCAATGAAACCCTGGACAATATTCTTTGGGATAAAGAGAAAGAGATTCAAAGAGAGGTGATGAAGCATATGAGAATCGTGCATAGGTCTATATACAGTACACGCCGAAAATCTCCGCAACACGATTACACGATTTATTTTTAGGATTACACGGTTTACACGATTCACCTGAATCGTGTAACTGTGTAATCGTGTAAATTTACACGATTGAAGAATGTCGCTCTGAATCGTGTAATCGTGTAAATAGTTAAGTGCATTGGTCGGATGATTCGACCAGATGTAACAATCGTGTAACTGTGTAATCGTGTAAATTTACACGATTGAAGAATGTCGCTCTGAATCGTGTAATCGTGTAAATAGTTATTAGGGTTATAAGGGCATTGGTAGAACGATGCGACAAGCTGCAACAATCGTTAAATCTTATCCTGCTTACACCAATTGCTTTACTTACCTTCAGTGTACATCAGTTAATTACTGTACTTTATATTCGTGTATAAACCTCAGCACTTTCCACTAACATGTATCGTATACTAATCCGTGAGACAAGGTAGGAAAACGTCAGAAACAGGAAGACATGATAGATGAAATAGTAAAGGAAAAAAGATAGCTACGAGGAGAAGGGAACATATAAAAGGAAAATGAGGGTTGAAAGGCACGATAAAGATAAACAGAAAAAAAGAGAGAAAAAAGGGAAAACTAAAAAGTTGACCGGAAGAAAAGAAAGAGTGAAATAGAGTGATAAAAAAAAGAAGGGCGAAACCTAGTAAAATTAACAGAAATGAGAAGGTTATGAAACGGAGAGGAAAAGAGACAAATTAATAAGGTAAGAGGGGAACATAATGAGGGAAAGAAAGGCGAGAAAGATATGGGTGAATGGAAAGATATTGAAAGAAAGAGAGAGAGTGAGAGAGAGAGAGAGAGAGATAGAAAAAGCTTTAGTTGAAAGAAAAGGGGCACCGATCAGATTTTAATAGGGGCATTTATCGGAGTTGATGGAGGCATTTATCAAAAGTGAAGAGGGGCACTTCTCGTACTTAAAGAGGGATACTTACTAGAGATTAAAAGGACACTAATGAGAATGGAAAATGGACACTTATTGTAAAGGAAAATAGGAACTCGTCGAAGGAAAAGGGGTGTGTGTCAAAAGAAAAGGAGCACTTATCAGAGTTGAAAAGGGGAAGGGGCACTTTTACAAATTAATAGGGACACTTGTCAAAGTAAAATAGGTACTTTTCCTACATACAAAGGGGCACTTTGGGGGAACTTGAAAAAGTGGGGGGACACTGTGCCGCTAGCTAAACGTAACTCAAAGACAGTTGGCCATTCACTTATTCTATTCATTCTCGGCTTGCAACTGTTCCCTACACTCTGTAGCCAGTGGCTTACATACTTACGTACATGTAATACCTATTGTTCAGGGGGATCCTATGTTCAAGGGGAACCCCCGGAACAATAGGTATTATGTAAGGATCTCTGCCTGTAGCTAGGGCAACGGCCTTTGTCCCCGGCGAGGGTCAATGGCAGGCCACATTCAGAGTAAGCTTCTTTTGTATGTGACAGGAAGTGTGCCCTTAAGCCTTGACCGTAGCTCTTTATATATATAGCTGAATAATGCAATGTTGTAAAAGGTAATTTACGAAAATGAGGAACGCTAAAAAAGCAATAAGTGATCAAAGTCTAAGGCCCGAATTCACAAAGGAGGTTTGTCGACAAACCTTGGTTTTCGTGCGTCACATGACGCGTTTTTACAAACCAGGTTTGTAAAATGGATAATGATTGAATAAAAAAAGTATAACGATATTCATAGTAACGAATGAGCTGGTGAACCGTAATTCTAATTGGTACAGCCTTGTAATGTAAGAGTATCACAACATACTTAATTATGTTAACCCTCCTTTAAATTTTGTAATCATTTTTACTTATTTACAACTTACGAATAACAAAATTCCCCCCTTCCTTCGTCGTTCATCGCTTTTTCTTTTTTCTCACCGAAGATTAAATCCGAGAGTGCTTTTCGGGAAGTGGACTGATTTTTTTAACTTTCAAACATTCTATAATAAAACTAGAGACAAGACACTGCAATTAAAAATATATACAAGAGAAAGAAAGCGTAATCTTCGCTATCCCCTCGTATCGTCCACGTTGTCCTCGTTTAACCAAGAAGTAACTTCTTGCTTTTACTGAACTAGACGTCCTTAACCTGCTCACCATCACCACTGAAAATAAATTGTAACACAATTCCAGCGAGCAACCGAATCGTGTAAATTTTGAATCGTGTAATCGTGTTGCGGAGATTTTCGGCGGGCAGATTACACGATTACACGATTCGACCTGAATTGAGGAATCGTGTAATTTTACACGATTACACGTTTACACGATTCAAATTTCGCTTCATTGGCAAAAAACGAATCGTGTAAAAATAAATGGTTACACGATTCCCGCGAGCAGTCGAATCGTGTAAATTTTGAATCGTGTAAATCGTGTTGCGGAGATTTTCGGCGTGTACTGTATATATATATACATGTATATATATATACATGAAGGCCCTTTTAGATGTGAAGCGGTAAACATCTTCTAAAAAAGAAAAGAAAAAAACTGTGGCAAATATAGCCATTTTTAACACCCCTAACTCCCCCCTGCCTCTTGCAATTAAACATGTAAAATTTTGTAGCACTGTATTTTGAGATTTGGAAAGAAAGCTGTGGCAAATATGCATATATGGCCATTGTTAACTACCCCTTCCCCCCTCCCCCTTTCTGAAATCATCTCTTGCAATGATATGTCTAACGCTTTGTTGCAGCGTGTTTTGTTTTAGGTGTTTCATTGCTTCATGTGTAAACAAGGCTTTTAGGTGCAAGCAGACATGTGATGTTATCTACATAGCTATGAAATAGATTTTTATTGATTTATTGATTCTGCATTCTTTGTATTTATACATGTATCTGATGTGTCTGCGTACTCATGTTCAGAATGGATACCTACCAGTACTGTTAAACCCGCAAACACAGATAATGAGATAATCAATTCTTAGATTAAGTTTATTAAAGTGTGCAAGGCATAATGACAATGACTGCTCCCTTGATCAATGAATGAGATCGTAGATGTGAGAACCAGGATAATAATGCATGAAAAGAAAACTCTGGGTATACAATTGTACAGTCAAACCTGTCTATAGTGACCGCCCAATTGAAACACAAAAAGTGGCCTTTGTAGACAGGTGGTCTTTGTAGACAGGTTCCTTAAGTACATGTTTCAATGAGAAACCAATTTCTAAGGGAAACAAAAAATGTGGTCCTTGTAGACAGGTGGTCTTTGTAGACAGGTGGTCACTAAAGTAGGTTTGACTGTGCTTTTGAGGGTAAGATTAGCTATGGGTTGGGGGTGAATAATATCATGTACTCTGATTGTGACCAAATGTTAAAATGCACGAGTCGGCATGTACATCTATCTTCAATTCACTTTGCTCTTACATTTGTACATGTATGTGTACATGTAGCTCTAAAATTTCATATAGTTTTTAACGACAGCATTACACCCACTTTTACTAGACTCATTGTGTGATTATTGACACACCCTATACTTTTTATAGCAGCTGCCCCCATTTCCTGTGATACCTCTGAGTCTATTCAAATCAATTTTGTATCCAATACTACATTTACATGTAGGTCACTTTATATCCATTAGTGTGTATGTAAATAAATCGTGATTGCAACATTTTTCTTTACACACCCTGTACAATATAGGGATTTCTATGAATGTAACACTTGTGGAGACAACAATCAATACTACATAAAAAGATTCTTTCTGACAATTTTTGTAATGATTCTAGTTCCCTAAATATAGTTCCAGATTTGATATTCATGAATGCGTAATTTGCGTATTCATAATTTATGCAAATTAACCTATGCATTTTCAAATATCATATATAATAATGAAACCTCATGAATTTGAGATGAAGGAAACATTTATTCAATACATTTTCAAGATTCTTCACAAGTCTACGGACAAATACATGTATGTTGAGTTTTCTGTAAAATGCATAAAATTAGCATTTTGCATAATTAATTAGGCTATAACGACAAAAATTTGCATATAAGGAAAAAACTAATTATACCATCTTGTTCCTTACGTAAATATCTACAAATATGCAAATTGTTGTGTTCATCGAACATTCGACGGCCGAGATCATGGGGGGGGGGGCCTCCCAGGCCCCCCCCCCCCCCCCCCAGTCAGAGGGTGCTCAAAATAGCCCAGTACAGTAAGGGTTAACGTAAAGATTCTGCTTCCGAGCTATGATATATTTCTATTGGATAGCAATTTTTCATACATGTATATACTCTTTTTGAAAAATCACAGTGATATCTGAAATATGGGTGAAAATTAGTCAACATTAAGAGGAGATAATGTACATGTACATTTATGTTTGTATTTTTATTGTTTTTAAGATTTTTCATGAAGTCATAACTACTCATTTTTAATGACATTTTTTAATTTATTAGTTTTGTCATAAAATCAAAGCTGAGTCTGTGAACTAGACTAGCTTCTCTGCCATTGCACCTGCTCCTTCTTCCTGGCTTGGTTGGTAACCATGGCAACAATGCCTGCAGTACCAGGATTGGTGAAGAGATATATGGGTTGCAAATTGTTTATGTACATGTACTAAAATGGAGGTATGGCGATGTTATCAGGCCTAAACTGGTGTTCAAATATATTCAGTTTTGGAAAACATAGATGTTGTAGGGGATAAGCAGTGATCAGTTTGGACTCAGATGTGTCAATATTTGTTATCAATATTTTTAGTGTCATCAAAACCTACATGTAATGTAGATGATTAAATTGGTAAGTTGATATGTTGTACATTTAAATTTTTAGGAGTTGTGTAGGTAGGTTTATGCGTAAACTCATTCTTATACTTTAGATTTGTTAATATTTGTCATGATGATCTCTTAGAATTGGTATTGATGATACAGAGAATACATTCACCCAAAACTATTATGCAATCTTATGCTTTGTGTCGTTTTATATACTATATATTTATATTGGAATATTTGAATGTTTTGTATTTTACTATGTACATGCATTTCACGTTCTATTTTTGCTGCAATTTTGTATTCTTCTAACCTCAATAATCACAGCAATCACTATGCTCTGTAACATCCAATACTTTTATGCTTATGTGTATTTTGTTTTTGTGTTGTTTTGAGATATTTGTAATTTTATTTCATATTTAATCGTATTTATTTCATGTCCCCATTGCAAACCAGCCTAGTTGCTGGAGTTAAGTCAGTTAACCATGTTTTAAAAAAGTAAATCAATCAATCAATCAAAATTCTCTAGTCATTGCCAACACTATAATTTTTCCTTCACAACCTCACAGCTGAAGAAAGACTGGAGAAATTACACAAACAGCTAGCTGATGCAGATGATCAAATCAGATTGGTGAACGACAGGTTGCGAGAAGCAGAGCATAGGATGGAGAAAAAACCTGTAAGATTTCACAAGCTTGGTGTTCTCAACGATAAGATAGTGGTTATATTTTCATGTGTTACAAATACCCACTTTTCAATTTTTGTAAGGATAAAGAAATGTTATGGAAGAGGTGTAACTTATCATTTTTAACCTGTTGAATACTGCATTATCTAATTCCCATAGACTTAACACAGGGACCACCAGGTTCCAGTAAGCAATGGGTTAAGAGTGTTGATCGTGTATAGATTTCAAGCGAAAAGTGTTCTTTAGATGTCATGAAACTGAAGGACAGGTGAAACATTTAAAATGGATAAATGTAGTTCTCAAAATGCATATTAATTTGCTGCCCACCCAATCACATCCTTGGGGACACTTGATGAAGAGTTACCTCTTTTTTTTCTTGTAAGCTGACACATTTTTAGTCTAACTTGTTACCAGTGATACATGCTAGTTATAACCTCTCCTTATATCATTTCTTAATCCTTTCATTACAAAACTAGATGTCAATAAATGTGTGCATGAATACTTTCAATATCTTGGAATTTGCTTAGGTCACCTTCAGTGTTGTTTTTTCTCAACCTATACCTTTTACTTTGATACAAAATATATTTTTATTTTACAAAGCATCACTGAAATAAATTTGTCTTTTAAAATGGGAGATTTAAAGATAACTTGAGTTCTGGTAAAAGAAAAAGAAAGATTTCTCACAGAATCAAACTGAACTTACACTGAATGTTCAAGATTACAAATAAATGTCATTTGCCAAACAATTTTGGCACAAAATGTATACTTGTCATCAGTGACAAATGACAGTTTTTGTTATAAGCTTCTGAAATCCGTGCTCCTGATTGGCTATCAGCAGATTTGTCACTGATTGGTGTCATTTGTCATTAGAAAAAGGCTTAAAGTTTGTGAAACGCCCTCCAGAACTCAACTTTATCTTTAACCAATAAATCCTCTTTTCCATCCAGCCTCTCGAAGAAGAGGAGCGCCATCGCCTGGAGGGGTTGCTAGGCGAGCATCTGCGCTCGGTAACGGGGCTCAAGGATCGCATCACTCAATTGGAGGATGGCATGGCGACCACTCTGGATATCATCGAGGCTAAGGATAGAGAGATGGCTGATCTCAAGAGACAGCTGGCCTTGATGGAGGAGGGCGACCCAAGACACGTAAGTCGTTGTGATGGAAAAAATTGAAAGACTTCCATTCATTTCCCACTTTATTTAAAGGAGGGTGGAGAAGAAAAACACAATGATTAAAATCAATGAAATTCAACAAATTTAGAATATTATGCCAGTTTAACACTTCATAAACAAGATTCAATTCAATTAATGATTTGAAAACACCACTGACACTAAAAAACAATCATTTAAACAAGCCTCCACAAGACTTAAATCTACATTTGCCCAGTGAGGTAAACAGGTACCTGGGGGGTGTATGACAAAGATCCCAAGTCGAACTTAACTTTAAGTTGGACTTGAATATTATGGAGAGCCATTTGTAGCATTAAAATAGAATATATTGTAAAGCAAAAATTAGACTATTCATAAATTCCACATCAAGAACATGAAATCTCCTTGATAACAGACGATTTGAATCAACATTTTATGCCTTTTACAATATCTTTTAAAAGTATTTTTAAAGATACTAACAGCTTTCCATAATTGTTAAGCCCAACTTAAAGATAAGTTCAACTTAGGATCTTTATGTATGAAACAGCCCCCAGGTAGGATTATTCCTTGAAATGCACTGTGTGCTGATAACAGCTGCCAGAGCTAAAGCTCTTTGGAAACTTGTATGGACGTTGTATTATAATGTGTTATGTGCTAAATAAGAACGGATTATTAATATTATTATTGTTCTTTTACTAGGCTAATGTAAAAATTCATATACAGTCAAACCTGCTTTAGTGACCACCTTGTGTCTACAAAGACCACATTTTTGTTTCCCTTGAAAATGGTTTCTCATTGAAACCTATATTAAAGGAACCTGTACATAAAGACCACTTGCTTAGAAAGACCACTTTTCTTGTCTTCCTTGGGCGGTATTTATATACAGGTTTCACTGTAGTATCACAATGTACTGTTCTTTTTGTAGGCTGAACTTCACGCCCAGCTGGCTGACAGGGAACTTCAGGCCGCTCAGGTAGCCAGGAACTACGCCAATCTTCAGCATGATCTAGATAACACCCTGGGTAGACTCACTGCAGAGATGGATAGGGTGAAACGTGTAGAACAACAACTAGCAGATGGTGAGGATGAATTCCTTCACTAATTTAACCATTTATATTTGATTTGATTTGATTTATTGGTTCTGCATCTTTTTTTTCTACATCATACATGTTCATGAATATAATATGATTTGATACAATATTTCATATGTATATATAAAGAAAATGTATGAAATTAAACAAATATATTGAATGCATAATTTACATACATTAGATGCAGGAGGGCTACAGCATAAGCAAAGTAGCTTGATGTGCCTGCAGCCCTCACATTAGATACAACAATGAAAATCAAAAAGCAGAAGAGTGACTTGCAGCGAAGAAAAGAAAAGGGGAGAGAAGGAGCGTTGGTTTTCTTTTAATACAATAAAACTTATACATCTGCTGATTAAATGCAGGTACATTACATTACATTTTTTATTCACTTATTTATTCATTAATTTATTCATTTATTCATGGTATAAGACAAATCTTGATTAGCAACCATTGGCTGACTCATTTACATTTTACAAGGAAATTTTAGAAATATTGCAAATGGTAAAATTATACAAAACCCAATGATAATCAGTGTACATAGACTGCTGTGGTTTAAATAATTCATGTATGTCATTCATGTACAGTGTATGCATTCATTTACAAGTTCATTCATTCATTCATTTTATTTATTAATTTTTTCCTTTAATACCATTTCATACCCACAATCGTTTATTCAGTCAATTGTTATTTCATACACTGTATGTGCATCTGTGGGTACATGTGTTACTTGTATGTTATTCATCCTAATGTGTGTAAATTTATTCATCCATTTAATTAATTCATGAATGAATTTATTGTGTAATCATTATTTATTGAACATCATTTTACTACAAATGAGTACAACCACCCGATGTTCATTGATATTGAAATCACAGAAATGATGAACAAGATTATAGTGAGCAATTCACAATGAAGCTCATGAATACTGTAAAAAAATATCTCGTATAAATATAAAAAATGAGACACTACATTACATTATTGTTCTGCCAAAATGTCACTTATATTGTAGCAAATTCAAATAGATATGTAAGAAAAGGTTTTTTTAATTTAATATACTCATGGAAATCAAATTTTTAGGACAAGTCGATCTGAACGACGAGCTACGTAACGAGCTGCAGAGCATTGTGGGAGGCCTGACCAATTACCTGAACCAGGTCAAAGGTCAGGTCATGGAGCAGCAGAGGGAGAATGCCCGGCTCCAGCAGGAGAGAGAGGAGCTCTTAGGGAGACTGAAGGAGGCAGAGAGGAGGAGAAAAGAGGAGGGACAGAAAAAGGTGGATGCTCTGGAAAAGGTAGTCTATCATTTTTTACCTCCCTGAAATGCCGTCTTATGAGGTCTAATAATCATTATTAGACCATATGGATAGTAGACGAAATGGGCATTAGACAAACTGGGAATCAGACTAAATAAGCAATAGACCAAATGGGTAGTCTCCTTATTGGAGATTATACCAAATGGCTATTAAAGTACATGCTAGTTTTAACTTCTCCTTATATCATTTCTTTAACCTTTCATTGCAAAAGAATTCATATGAAATTGAGATTATGTCACCAAACATAATATTCATGTTTTCTTTGAGAGTGTGCAGCTGTAAGATAATACATAATGTATAATATGTTTTTAAAAATTATTACAAAATATGTCACACGCATTGTTTACACTCTATTATGAGTTTTTGAATTATGTAATTTATATACAATGGCTGTGTTATGATTCTTCTAATCCCAACCAATTAATTCATTTACTTGTGATCGCTTTGGTTTCTTTGGTTAAAAAAAATCTTTGTTGATTCTTCTCTTGATGGCCACAAGCTGGCGCTGTGGTGGACCCAGACGGTAGGCATTGTGTTTTTGCGGATTTCATTTGTTTGAAGTACGTTCTATTCAGATACTTCCTTCATTATTTTGCTCCCTTCTTTCTTTCACACATTCATTTCTCTGACTTGAAAATGTCTTGATTTTTACTTAATTTCTCACACATTTTGTCTGCTGGTAAAATTCACAAGCACCAATTTTTTAGTTTATCTTTGGGAACACTGCTTATGTATATCTATACCAACGTTCATGTACCACTTCAAGATTTGCAGTTGGTATTCAGCAGTTGTCATAAAGTGCCTGCAGAAGTGTGTTTGTGCCATGGAAAGACTGGATTGTACTGTTGTCCAAAAGAAGAAAAAAAGACATGAAAACTAGTTTTTTTTTTGTTAGAGGCAAGCAAACTACTCAGGACTCATCTGAGTCTCCTTCTCCAACATGTGTAATTGATCCAACTTTTTCAGTGGTGCTTTTCCTCAAAGAAATACATGTAGAATCATGGCTTGGATTCCAATTGAAATTTGTTGGATTTAGGGTTAAAGTTAGGTTTGGTGTTAGATGTGGTGTTTGTGCTTGGTCCGGGTTGAAGCAACAAATTCTATTGGTGTAAAAATGGGTAATACAATAAACACATTGGAAAATATAAGGGTGCATGCTTACAATTTTGAATTGAGTGTACATGTACATTACACATGTACCTGTCATTGAGAAAATGGAAGGCTTCACAGATATTGTATTAAAAACACATAGAAGTGGGCTCTCATGGGAGTGTTGTCAATTACCAGGATTAGCCTGCAGTGTTATGACCAACAGGCTTTATGTACATGTAATGCTCTGTCTTTTCCCTGTATGGTGAAGTCCTTATCTGACATTTGCATCACCCAAAGACTCTCCGAGAGACAGAGGGTATTTCTTGATTGGCCTACGAGTTTGCTGTGTGCAGACTTGTACACCCATTAATGGTTTTTCCACCATTTCTGGTGTCAGCGAATTATAACCTTCTGCACATGGAGTCTGATGACCATCTCCCTTTAAAGTGACTTGGTAACATTGTTGAAGGTTGATGAAAAAATTGCTTAAGTTTTGTATAAAATGTTACTTATTATATTCCTTCTACTGTACTAACCCTCTGACATGCAAAAAATCCTGAAAAAATTCTCAAACCATGGAGATATCTATGGTTTTCTTTGAAGAAGTCGATGTATGACACCCTTTAACAGTGATTAACAGTAAATTCTCCCAACCATTTTTGAATTTTCCCAACCGTCTTTCCATGAAAATAAAATATAAAACAGGCTATAAAAAATCTGTCAACACTTAAATGTCTGGAATGGAATGAAGAGCCATTCTATTGCTTTGTGATGATTTTCATTCACCTAAAATGTAATTAATTGTAATAATATAGTTGGGAGAATTAAGGAATCGATCAGATAAAGTTTTTCCCAATTTGTACCATGAATCATGGTCCGTTTTCACTCATATTTTCAGATTATCTTTAATTGTACATCTAGTATTGAAGTCACTACCTTAGCACCACTATCTCTCATCTGAACAATGTTACCAAGTACCTTTAAAGTACTGAATGTTGTAAATACAGTACCTCCATCTCTTCACAGAAACTGAGAGATGCAGAAGACGCTAAACAGGACATTGAGGCTGAGAACCTGGCTCTGAAGGAATCGCAGAGAGGGATGAACTCACCAGACCCTGAGAAAGATGCAAGGATCAAAGCTGCCATAGAAGAGGCCGGTAAACTGAAGAATGCCCTGAGGAGACAGCAGAGGGAGGCAGAGGTAAGAAAGGGTTGCCATGGTGATTCTAACGGTGATGATGGTGATGGTGTTGATGCTAATTGCGGTAATGATCATGAAGATGGTGATTCTAGCGGTGATGATGGTGATCATGATGGTTATTTCGACCATAAAAATGACACCGATGATGTTAATGCTTATTGTGGTGATGTTCATGAAGATGATGATTGTTATGGGGATGACGGTGGTGATGATGAGGAGGAGGAGTTGTAGTAATAGTAGTAGGAGGAGGATGGTGGGATAGTGATGATAGAGTCGACGATAGTCTTGATGTCGATGATGATGATAATAACACTAGTTATGCTTATTGTTGTGATGATCATGAAGATGGTGATTGAAATGATGATTATGATGGTGATGAGGAGGAGGAGTTGTAGTAGTAGTAGGAGGAGGATAGTGATGAGAGTGATGATGGGGTAGTGATGACAGAGTCGATGATATTCTTGATGATGATGATGATGATAATGATGATGATGCCATTAGTTATGCTTATCGTGGTGATGATCATCAAGATGGTGATCATAATGATGATGATGATGATGAGGAGGAGGAGTTGTAGTAATAGTAGGAGGAGGTGGATATTGGTAGAAGTCATGGTGGCATAGTGGTGACAGAGTTGATGACAGTCTTGATGACGATGATATATACATGTACCGGTACAGTATATGAGTTTTGTAGCTTTGGAAACGAAAATACTCTGTATTGGTGTTGAAAATCATTCTGATAGCGGAATGATGTAAAGAGATAAGACAAATATTGTATTTTATTTGAACGGAGGTGAGCTGTAATATTATTATAATGTTAACAATTTATTAAATATATTATGAGTCTGTGCATACCCGTATCTAAGTGCTTGGCTTTAGATAAAATCTTGTAGGCTTTATAAAGTTTATTTAGTTTTCCAGAAAGACTTTACCAAGAGGGGTGCACTTTATACACAACTGATTAATCTGCCACCAATCAACCCATTTGACATTGTTTATATGTAGGCTGACAAGGAGGAATTAGAGCACGAGTTAGAAGCAAGACGCAGTGAGCTGGAGAGGGCAGCAGACCAGGCCAGACAAGCCAAGGGAAGCAAAGCAGAGGCTCGGGATATACTTGCAGCCAAACAGTTAGCTGAGGCACAGGTACAGTTGGCCACCAACATCTTACAATGCAATAGATATTCTTTAATAGACCATTTTCGTAATGTAATCAAATTCAATGCATAAATTGTAATATGCCTCGTTATTTGTCAGGTAGAATAAGCCATAATGTTTGTCCTACCTAGCATCAACTAATGTATGCAATTCGCATTCTGACAATTGAAATTATTCATAACAGGTAAAATGAAGTAATTTGTAACTAGGCACTTGACAAAGATTTAGGCACTAAATTGATTGCTTCTTATTTGCAAATGCATCTCGACATGTATATTTTTATATAAATGTAATGCTTCCTGGGAGAAATTTCAATTATTTTCAATACAGATCGATCAATCGATCTTATTTACTGGGTGTAAGCCACAAATATGTTTGAATAATGTATATTTTTGTTTATTTAAAACTAGGATATTCAAGTGGTCGTAACAAGAAAAACATGACACGTATTCTTTCTGCTTAATACATTCCTTAGAATAGTATTTGTCCCATTTTTGGTCAGTCATTATCTCAACTGATTAATTGGACATTTTCTGTAATTATTGCTTCACTGGAAGCCTAAGGGTCACTCTGTAAATGATCATACTTGTTTCACATTTGTATCCCATTTCTACAATGTTTATGATGCATGGGTTGATGGTGAAACTAATATGTTTGTTAACGGATGTTAACTATAACTGACTTCAATTTGAACTTGTTTCGTAACAGAAGGCCAACCAAGCGCTGAAGAACCGTCTCCGCGACCAGCAAGCGCAGTACGACGACCTCCTCAACTCCTCCCTCCACCCTGAAGATGTAGCTCAGCGTATCAACCACGCCGGTGATGCCATGGCAACAGGGCCGGGGGAGGCTGAGAGTGTGGTCGGACCTCAGGGAGAGGGCGATATAATAGGGGAATCTCTGGCAGGGCTACAGGGCCAGGTGGCGGGGAGGATGAGGCAGGCGCAGCAGGAGGCCGAGAGGGCCAAGCGATACCAGCAAAAAGTAGGATTCTTTCATACATTTCAGGGATTATCATGTTTGTTTGATTGTTTTACCTGACTGCTTGTAAGTATTTAAGCAACCAGGGGACTGACAGCTTTTAGTCCTCTCCAAGGGACTATGAGGATTAATCCTTTACCAAATGGGAACTAGCACATTGACTTGGTTTCAAACCATGAGACCACTGTTCTACCACTGAGCCACCGCGCCTCCTTTTATTATAAGGAATATCAAACCTCTGTAAGATGTTGGGTTGTGTTAGAGCAGAAATAATGAGAAACAGATCGAGCAGGATTGGGAGAAATTGGTTGGTTATGCTACTTAATGGGTCCAAAGTTAGTTGTGAATGTTTGAAACAAACTGACGTCACTAAATCTGTGCCAATGTGATATTTGCTGCAAAGTAGGGTTATCCAAAAATCCAACATTTCAAAACTGCTTTTTAATCTAATTTTAAACAAACTTTATAATTATTTAAACATATTTGTGGCTTACACCTTTATTACTTTATCTACTAGCTTCACACTGGAATTTAATCATTTTTGGTAAAAAGGTTATACTAAAACAGAATATCATCACTCATCTATTTATTTTTAGGGAGATGGTAAGCGGCATTGTTTTTAAATGGTTAAGGCCTTGTTCACGTACATGTATAACACTTGAAACTACTAGAAAAGAGAAAAAATGCTTCAAAATAGTATAAAATACATGTATAGTGAAGTGTCAAATGAGAATGCATAGGAGCCTATGTTGTATGCAGCTAGATTTTTTTTTCACTCCAACTTGCCATTCATTAACACAGAAAAGAGTTTTTATTTTGCTGCAGCAGCAGCTTTTGTAATCATTTTACCTTGGTATGTATGAACGGGGCCTATAATTATGTTGTGATTTTTTTTTCTTCAACAGGCGGAGGGTGAAGCCAAGTCTCTGAGACATCAGCTTGAGCAGATGCAAGCAAGGTTGAGAGACATGGCAGCAAGAGACCAGGACCAAACAAAGGTTAATAGAACATCTCATAGTCATTATTAGACTTAGTTTTTTTTTTTTTTTTTTTTTTATGTGGCACGTACATGCTCTTGTTACATGCAAATTAGGTGCAAGTTTCAAAGATTAGCCAGTACGTTAGTAGTAAAATGATGCTGATTAAAAGATAAAGCCTCGTTCAGATATGATGCGGCAAAACCATGGCTATTTTTTAGTTGTTTTATAATGATAATGTTAAGTGTATTCATGTCACATTTCTGTATGAACAGAGCTCAATGAATAAGCACAGGACCTTTGTTGTGCCCAGATGCCATTCAGCCTTCAAAGAGAAGAGATGAGAGAGAGAGAGAGAGAGAGAGAGAGAGAGAGAGAGAGGGGGAGATGGGGGAGGAGAGGAGAGGAGGGGATGATAAATGGTCATTTATGTTAATTTGTCTTATCTGTGCACATTTGTGTTTTAGGGTAAGGATGCTGTTTGAAAAGTGAGTAAGAGAGAAAAAGAGAGATGGGGGAGGAGAGGAGAGGAGATGTTAATAAATGGTATATCATCTATACTAAGTTGTCTTATCTATGCAAATATGTGTTTCAGGGTAAGGATACTGATTGAAAGGTGTCAGAGAGAGAGAGGCTAGAAAATCAGAATGAGAAGATGATAAATGGTTTGTTATCTATGCTAATTTATATTATCTATTTGATGTTGTGTTTCAGGGTAAGGATGCTGATTGGGAGGACGATGAGGAGGAGATGGTGAGGATGAGGGATGAGGTTGGGAGATTGAAACAACAGCTCCAACAAGCCAAGAACCAGCAGGTGATTATACAATGCTCCATTTCATTTTCATATTGTAATACTTGCTTACTAGCAGGATAAAAATTGTTTGTGAATGGTTATAAGACATCTTCTAAGACCTAGGCAAACTTTCTCAAAAAAACATGCCAATGTTTAAACATTCCTACATATCGATCCTAAGGCCGGTTGTGGGGAGCAATAACATATATGCACATTTAGATGAATAATCACTTTATCATTTTATCAGCGAAATCTTATGATGTGGAATTGTTAAAGCCTGTGATGCAGTTGCGAACAATGTTGCCAGAGTACCTGAAAGTCAGATACTAGCTTAGTTTAAGCTAAGCTATAGTTCTGATAAGTCTCCTTGAAAAAAAACAGACATCCCATAAAGAATCTTTTATGGCCTGAAATATGAATTTGAGAGTGTATTTTACTATACAGTAATCTAATATTTATTTCATTTTGTAAAGGGTATGGGTCACCTATAACCCAGTCAATATGGTTTGAAATCGTTGCAGTGGCAGTTTCTTTGATGTATTTATTGCAATATTGTGTTCTTATTCTCAGCCCCCACCCAGACCCCCTCCTCAGCCCCCTGCTGTAATGACCCAGGTAGACTCTAGGAGTGCACCCCCTGGGATTGACCCCAGGGTCAGGGACCAGATGCAGAGGTTGCAGGGTGATGTGGCCAATTTGAGGAATCAGCTCCAGAACAAGGACAGAATGGCTGCACAGCAGGTACATAGAATTTCAATCCCCAAGAGTTTCATTCTGTAATGATTTACAGTTCTTCTAGAGGTGTTGTGGGCTAGTAGAAGTCTCCAGACTGTGGACCACAAGGTACAGGGTTGAAATCCCTGCCACACCGCTAACGTCCTTTGGCAAGACATTCATGTACATTTGCCACACTCGACCCAGGTGTAGTAAGTGGGAACATGGTAGGATTTATTACTTGAATGCACAATATCCAACGTCCTTTGAAAGCGCATTGAGACGTTATATCATAATGTGATATGCGCTATACAAGAACAGAATATTATTGTTATTATTATTCTGCTATGTGTACAAATATGAATTGAAGCAGAACCCAACACTAGTATCTGCCATAGGGTTGCTAAAGAAAAAACGCAATGGCTGAGTATTAATGCCAGGACACGTTTGTCAGCTAATTGTAATGTTGTCCCATGTGTACATATCTATGTTGGCTATTTTCAGTGCATGCAACTACAAAGTTTTTGTTTGTTTGTTAAAATTTTGCTGTGATGACTTTGACTCAATTAAACAGTGGTTTTACGTTTTAGGGGTGTATTCTTTTTTCTTTTTTTTACCGATGTCTTCTCAATATGGAGCATCACTTTGAATTGACTTTAATAATGGGTTTCATCCACATTTGCTAAATGAGAAGATATTATTTTATTGTGGAAAGCTTGCAGATGCTGAAAATGACATAATCCAGCTCCAGGCGGAGCTCCGTAAGAGGGAGCAGGAGGCTAGGGCAGGAGAAAGGAGCAAGAAGAAGGCTGGGGAGAGAGAAGCAAGAGAGGCAGAGCTGAGACATGCTTCTGCTTTGGCACAGGTCAGTCTTTATCACAAAGACTAAGATGGACTTTAAGTTGGCCTTAACTATGGCAGGCCGTTCATGCCACTGTTTGCTCTCACCATTTACTGGCATTGGTCTCTCAAGGGACCTACAAATCATAGTCACAAATCTACAAAATTCACATTTTTGATAATTCATTATTGAAGAAAAAAATATTATCTAAAGATCATAACGGCGAAAGCAAACGGTGGCAGGAACGGTCTGCCATATAGTTAAGTCCAACTTAAAGTAGATCTTAGTCTTTGTAAGACACTCCCATGTCAGCAGAAAAAACTATCCCTTCTGCCACCAAACTGCCCACCAGGAGACACCCATCTCCCCAATTTACAACTAAGCCCTTAGAAATTGAACAAAATTACCCCCTTGACCACCACACATTACCTGAGGAGTAAGGGGTTAGTGGTTTAAGTTAGCGGTTTTAGTGTCTTTGGGGTAATTGTCGAAGTTAATGTGCTGAGAGGGTAGTTGTTAGGGGTGGGGTTGGGTGATAGGGACTATTGGGATAGTGTAAAATCTTCCTAAGTTTGGTTCAGTTACTCCTAGAAACAAAGTCCAAGTTAGGTCTTCTCAAGATACCAGCAGGAAAGGTGTTGTAGCGGAGCGGGTTGTAAACATTTATTAATAATAATAATAATATGTAGCTTTTTTATAGCGCTTGATACAAATGTCTCTAAGCGCTTTACAAATATGCTATTACCCCGGTCATTGGATACAGTGCTTGCCCGCACACAATGTGTGCACAATCTCCACTCCCTGGGGAGCATTCTAGCCAGGCGTTACTTGACTGGAGATTCAAGCCAGATCATCTTGTTATGCTATGCGGTTAGCAGAAATTACATGTAGCTTTAACCACATGATGTAGAAACTGAAATATGAAGATGACCTGTTGATCTGTAAGGGCAACTACACTGTATCCCTGAGGGCTATTATGGAACAACAGGTATGGCTCATTTGGCGAGGAAGAAGAACAAGGCAGTATCCAGATTGTGTCTCATCCACCTGGGACCAAATTACGTGAATGTCAGAAATGAGCATCGCTTACCAAGTTGGGTTGCTCTTTGGTTGTATGCTAGTAGTCATAGAGAGTCTTGTGGGTAAAAAACGTACATTTAACCTAAAATGATCTAACCCATGTTTGATCATAACAGGGAAAAAAATACACAGGGGACTCGGGGCAAATTCGCCCCCGAAATGCCAAAAAGAGCCCCCAAAAGTCATAAAAGAGCCAAAAAAAAATTGCATAGAGTTCAATGCAAAACAAATTAAAGAGTGTTATTTTCATGCAAGCAAGCTTGAAAAGTAGCCCCCCAAATTTTTAAAATATTTTTTCCCCTGGATCATAATGGGGTAAATGGTTGTCGAATTCTAAATAGACAAGGCTCAGGTAGAGATTGATACATGTTGTAGTAAAATGTATTAAAGAATGATAAGTTGTTATTCATTGTGTATTTTGTTCTGTGTTCTTTGATTTTAAAGTAGTACTGTTCATCTCTTATATTGTTCTGTCTATAGGCGGAGATTGATGGAGGGCATCTGGCCCAGAGAGCTATCAATGAACTCGCCAAGGCTTAAGAAGAGATTGATTTTGAAGTAGTACTGATCATCTCTTATATTGTTTTCTCTATAGGCCGAGATTGAGGGAGGGCACCTGGCCCAGAGAGCTATCAATGAACTCGCCAAGGCTCAAGAAGAGATTGACGGCCTGGAGGAAGTACTTTCCAACCGAGAGAGGGAGCTGGAGGAGACACTACACCATGGGGAGACTGCTTCACATGCCATTGGTATTAAACACATTGAAGATTTCTTGTTAGAAATGTAAGGTCAAAGCATTAGGATATTCACAATTAGTCATATTTGTGTATTTTTTTCTTGATCATCCAAATTTAAACAAATTTCATAACCATTATCATAACAACGTGCTCTGTCTACTTCTCAAGTTTCATAATGTTTAGATGCTTAGTGGTCAAGATCAGGGTGGGAATGTATATACAGGAGTAATTTGAAAAACAGCTTTGGCTGATGTATTAATATTTATAAATAAATAAATAAATAAAATTATGATGTACGTTTCCAAAGCTAATCAACAGGAGGAGATAGGAGCATTGCATGATGTCCTGGGAGCACAGAAAGATGAAATCCTACGACTACAGGATCTTCTAGATGGAGTAACTCGAGCGCAAGAACCATTAGGTACGATCAGTTCAGTTCAAAGAATCCCTTGGCTCACTCAAACCTAATGAATATTTTCTGTAGAACAGTCAGGTAAGAATCATTCTATTCTGGGGGGGGGGGGGGTTTAACCACAGATGGCAGATTTGATTATATTACTTTTCATTAGTCTGAAAAAGCTACAGTTGCATATTTTAGGTTGTAGTTTTGTCATTTTTTTTTTTTTAATCACCCCATATGTCTACTGACCGTCCTTTTTTCAGGTATCACTGTATAATTGCCATACACCATTTTATCATCAATTATGCCTACAGTTGATCAACTAGAAATGTCCTATATAAATTGCTACATGGTCAATATCCTTTTCAAGAAAGCCATGCAATAATAATGAACATTTTGTATGGAATCTCTTTTATATAGGTCCTCAGACAGCGACTGATCTGCAGAATTTATTGGGAGAGATAGCTGGATTGAGGCAAGCCTTGGATGGGCAGCAGCATCATATGAACAACAGAGGACAAGGCAGGGTTGCACCGTTACCCCCTTTCATCCCTGCAGCAGATCCTGCATTCAATGATAGAGGTAGTACACATTGACATCTCATGAACTAAAATCGTTTTTGTAATTTTAAACTATTTGTGGATAGTATCTAGAATATTGCAAATCTAAGGAAACTTATTGAACCATACATATAATTCCTATTAGATAGTATGATATTGAGTGATAACAAATAGAGTCCTGCATGTGTTTAACTCTGTTTTTTTTTTAATATTCTTGTATTGATTAATGTTGATTAATTTACGGTCTGAAGCAAAATGTTCTTCACATTTGATTCTTAATACGCAGATTGGCTGAAGCTGTGATAATTGTAATTTTGTAGGTACCTTGAACATTCCTTTGTACGGATATGAATACCAAGAGCAAATGTAATTAGCAATCTTTTACATGAAAAAATTCTGTTATATTCTCAGGATACCATGGAAACTCATCATTTATGCCGCCAGGTCATCAATCCCAACCGCCACCCCCAGGGAACATGAATTATGCACCGCAATCCTTGCCATATACCCCTCAACATTCCACTTTGCCACCTGCACCTATGGTGGCGCAGAGTACCGCAGGAACCGGCTTCCAGCCTTCGGTGTCATTTGCACCTTTAGACCAGAGCCACCGTGTTCAGGCACCATCCATGCAACCACCACTACAAGGCCCTGTACCCTTTATACAGCCTACTGCGGTACCACCCAGACTCTTTGGAGCACCGCCTCAAGGCAGTGCTGTACCTATGGGAGGTACCACCAATGGGCAGGCAATGTTCCAACCACAACTTCAACATGCACCTGCTACTCAGGGAGTACATTTAGGCAGGGAACAGGACATTACCATTAGTGAGAGTAGGAGGGGCAAGTTGAGGCAGGTGAACGGACCGATCGAAGGACTCTTCTGCAATGTACCAGAGCACCATGACTTGGTAAGAAACAAATTGAGAGTACATAACTTAGGTTCACTTGGCCATTTCTGATAATAATATTAATAATAGTTCGTCCATATAGCGCCTTTTCAGGACCGCAGGCCCTCTCAATGCGCTTTACAGATATATATTGTTACCCCAGTCATGCTTACCTGCACACAATGTATGCACATTCTTCACTCCCTGGGGAGCATTCAAGCCAGTCGCCATTTTACAGTATTCATTTTAAATGTTTCTAGGGTCGTGTTTTATAAAATCTGTTATCAATAACAAGTGTTACAAGCTACTTAAATCGTGGCATTTGATTGCCTGAGAGCAAATTTGTCATAGAAATTTAGCATTTGTTATTGATAACAATTTTTATGAAACAGGGTCCAGATTTTTCCTAAACTTCCAGTGATCTGCCATGTAATTTTGTATCTTGTTCTTTGTTTTGTAGTATTTCCAGTATTTTCGATAATGTGCTATAGTCATTGTACATGTAGTTATTAGGATATTCATGATTTTAACTTCCATTTGGGACATTATGTTTCTGTGTCTCTTTTTTTTGTTTACAACAGGAGGATGAAATTGATAGACTACGCAAACAACTCGACAAGCTGAAGCGATCTAAGGTACATGTCTGTCATTTGTTGTGAAAACCATATGATAGTGGAAGTGATTACCGGTACTAAAAAATCCATATTCCAATATATTTTACAAAACTGTGCAGACACAGCTGTCCTTTTTTTGTTTAATGCATTACTTCCGCTCATTTGGAATTTACATCCCTGCCCAGGACGTAATTTTTTGTCACTTCTCATTTGTATCTTATAAGGCTGCGACAGGTAGTCGAATGCTCGAGTACCCGCACGGTTGACAACTACTCGGGTACGATTTCTTGTACCCGAATATTCGGCCGCAAAAAAAAAAAAAAAAAAAATGTCCAGGCCCACGCTTACCCGTGCCAGGGAGAGCGGCAGCCGCTGGCATGTTACCGTCGGTAATAATGTTTCCCAACTCAAGCACTGTCAAACTCACCTTTCAGAAACTGGGACCAAATGTCCAGATTTCTGTTTGGACTTGGAGGAAAATGGATTATTCTGCCATCTTTGGTTTTTAAAACAGCATTGTTTACTGTTATTATTCTTATTAAATCGGCGCCTTCAACTGCAACTCAAAGTAAAGTTGCATGCGTTTTCAGCGAGGGACCTGAGAAACTGCCGAGTGGTATGGTAGTGGCAAAAAAAGAAAAAAAATCAAAAAAATCAAAAAATTCAAAAAAAAATTAAAAAAATTCAAAAAAAATTATAAAAAAACATGGCGTCCGAATATTCGAGTATTCGCCTGTGAGCCTGGGAGTGTACTCGGGGACCTCATTACACTGTTGTGCACAGCCCTAACCTAGTATCTTATATTCCGCCCCCCCCCCCCCTACCTTACCGAAACATTAGTTGGACTATTTCAGCTTCGGTCAGAAAAATTGAACAATATTTATTCAAATGTGTTTTCTTATGTTTTTTTCTATGATATAATGATACAGCGGACTGAAAGACAAAGTTCACCTAATACATCAGGAAGAATGTCTAGATTGAGGCATGAACTAATGGTAAGTTAAAACCCCCATCTTCGACTTGATACTTTGTCACATTTCCACCTGAAACAAATAATTGTATTTCAAAAGTCAGAATGCAAATTGCATTTATTACATGTTGCTAGGTAGGAAAAATATTATGGCTTGTCCTAACTAGCATCAAGTATCAAATGTATGCAAAATCACCCTCTGACTATTGAGATACATTTATTTGTAACCGATAAATGAACAATTTGTATTGAGGCGTTTCACAAAGGCATATGCAAACATTTGGATACATTACAAAACCGGTTTATTGATGAGGGAATACCATGTTTTATGAGCTGATGATCATTCCTATTTTAAAGGAATTATTCATATTTAGGAGCTTTCAAACCTAAAAAAAGACATTTTATTTAGAACATGCATGAAATACATGTTTTATATATTATTCATGATATTATATTGAGCGATTCCTCTTTTTCTGCTGTGGATTGTTTCCAGGTGGGCATGTAATAATAATATTCTGCGTTTATATAAAAAAAAATGATATATTGATGATGGCTTTCAGCGCTTATCAGATATATCTTTACCCCAGTCACCAGATTCAGGCTTGCCCGCACAAAATTTATGCACATTCTCCACGCCCTGAGGAGCATTTTAGCCAGGCGCCATTTCACAGAATGTATCCATGACATTTTGTCATGGTTTAACTTGATCCCTCACAGTATCCATCCCTCTGTCTTTCCCACTTAATACCTGCCCACCTTTTTTGTATCCATCAATCCATACCCTTCCCTTCTCCTCCTGGGGGGTGTTCACACAGATCCGAAGTTGAACTTATCTCCAAGTTGGACTCAACCATTATGGAAAGCTATAAGCATCTATGAAAATATTTTGTATAAGTTATTTTAAAAGGCATAACATTTTGATTCAAATCATTCCTATTTTCTATTATCAAGGAGATTTCATGTTCTTGATGTGGAATTTATAAAAAAGTCTAAAATACTTGAATTTTCACTTTTGAATATATATTTTTTAAAGCCTACACATGGCTCTCCATAATTTTGAAGTCCAACTTAGCATTAAGTTGAACCTAGGATCTTTGTGAAACACCCCCCTCTTAATCTATCTTCAGGACAAGCGTGAAGAGCTGGATGCCCTGGACCTGGCAGTGTCCAGGCAACAGGGTGCCCTGAACAGATTGAGAGACGACGATGAAGATCTGAGATACCAGACGGAGGCCAAACTGAGGGAACTGAAGGACTTAGGCAGGAATGTAGATGAAAGAAAATCTAGAAGGTATTTAATTCACAGTCTCTTAGAGGCCACACAAGGGGAAACAGAAAAAGTGGCTATCATAGATACAGTAAAGCTTGTCGTAGTGGCCACCTCCCCATAGTGGTCATACCATTTTTCTCCCTCAAGAAAAATTAATGTATTTGGTAGAATCTGTCTAGAAAGGTCACCTGTCTACTGTGACCATTTCTGTTTCCCTTGGGTGACCCTAATAGATGGATTTGACTGTAAAATGCTTTCAAAGCAGGTTCTGCAACATTTATTTTTTTCTAGAAATAGACAGTATACATTTGTCCACTAAAAGCAGTGGGTCTTTATATGGAAGTTGCCACTATGACACATTTGAATTAATGTGTTCTTCTGGAAAGGATACATTTATGTGTTTTTTTGTTACCTGGGTATGCAGTATATGTGTGTAACATGGATTCCCAAAAATGCTTAGATTTCTTATACTGTGTAAGATATTGGATTTGTGGATACATTCTCACGTCAATGACATTTTCCTCCAGGGATTTCTTGGAGCACCGTCGTCAGTTTGTACCGAGAGCTGAGGACTACGATGAGGTGGACGACCACCAGCGCATGCAGCAGAGTGCGTTCCTTGAAGACGAGATTGAGTGCCTGGAGGACACCATAGCAAAGAGGAGAGCAGAGCTGAGGGAAGCCGATCAGTTACTGCTGCAGTGTCAGACTGATTTACATGAAGCTCAGAATAAGGTGAGTTTGTCTATCAATCTTTACGCTCGTTAAAGATAAATTTGAGTTCTGGTTTTTAAAAAAAGTCTCACAGAATCAAACGAAACTTACAGTGAATGTTCAAGAATACAAATAAATGTCATTTGCCAATCAATTTTGATAGAAAATGTATACTGGCTGAGTAATGAGCATAGAAAGATGAGGAAATCAAGGTAAGTAGCCCCAACACCATTTGTGTAGTCCGATATACATCTTTCTGTGTTCAGTACTTGTTACTTTACCAAGACTGGGCCAAATTTATTATGATTTTGATGACTCCAGAACCTTGCAGTACACACCAATCCTTACATGCTACATGATCAACTTTTTCTGATCCATTCCACACCTTTTCTTTCACATTGCAATCGCATGACCAGAACTCAACTTTATCTTTTAGTTTGGTTATGTGAAGTTTGTATCAGTTCTTTATTTTATAAAGCTTCATCCCCAAAGTTCTGTAGCTATTCCATCCTCATAGAGCAGAGAGATTCAACTCAAGACAGGTATCCACTGGACTATAAACTGTTGCAGAGCTACCAAGCTTACAAACATAAAACAACTATATTGTAAGATTCCATCGGACAAGTTTTTGATACCGTTTCATTTTTCCATTGTTCTTAGTGATTTACAACGTGTTTAATGATAACAAACTTGACAAGTTTTTTTAAACCTGTTTTCTTGGTCCAAAATAAAAAATATGAGACTAAATTTGAGCAGTTTGTGGGATAGTTTTATGTCCCTAACGATCTTCCATTTGCGAGCGTAATTAGTCGCCTTTAAGGGATATTAGGAACTTACTAATCTTTTGATTAATTTTTGGTTTTCTTTAGGCAAGTGAAACACTCAGACATTACGACAAGGCAACTCATGACCTCGCCATGACCCGAGAGGAGAGCGAGGAGCTTGAGCGGAGGTCACACGAGGTTGCCGTGACCCTGGTCCAGGCCCAAGAACGGCTCCTGGTCCTAGAGAGGGAGGTGGAGGAGCTGGAGGAGAAGAGGAGGACCTGTGAGAGGGATGCGGGTGAGATGGAGACCCTACTTAACGGCAGGGAGATGGAGATGAGAGCAGTGGAAGCAAAGAGAGACCAGAGCAGTAAAAGGTATTGTTTATACGGTGAAATCTGGGAGGTGTTTCACAAAGACTAAGATCGATTTTAAGTTAGACTCAACTATGGCAGGCCATTCATGTCACTGTTTGCTCTCACCCTTTACTGGCATTGGTCTCTCAAGGGCCGTACAAATCTACAGAATTTACATTTTTTGATAATTCATTATTGAAGGAAAAAATATTGTCTAAAGATCATACTGGTAAGAGCAAACAGTGGCATGAACGACCAGCTATAGTTAAGTCCAACTTAAAGTCAATCTTAGTCTTTGTGAAACACTCCCCTGCTTTAGCGACCACCTGTACAGAAAGACCACCCTGTCTATAAAAAAGGCCACATTTTTTATTTCCCTTGAATAGACTTTGTCTTTGATACTTGTATGACAGAAACCTGTACACAAAGACCACCTGCCTTTTAAGATCACTTTTTTTGTCTCCCTTGAGTGGTCTTTCTAGACAGATTTCACTGTATATAGATAAATGAATCAAAAGTGTATGACTGATCAGAGGTGTGATTGGAATGCAATCTATTCTGTGACAAGTCACAGAGTGGTAAAAAAATGGAAGAGACAATATTAGAGAAAGTCATTAATGGAAGGAGGGATACTTTTTGATGAAGAGCAATTTCATGAAAGCATGATTATTAAAGTTATCACCGGAAAAGTTTGGTACTATATTACAATATATGATATGAGATATGAGTGTAACTCAATTTTAAATTATGGATTGAGATTAATGTCTCATAATAATTTTTAATTTTCAAGTATTTGAGAAAGGAAGACAAAAAATGGATAAGAGGTACGGTAAGATAATTAAAAAAATATTAAATACATATTAATTTCTCCTACACATTTACAAATATTTTTTCTTTGATCTTGGGATGTAGGCTACTGCCAAGATCAGCAGCAGAATGAGCAACTAATAAATTCAGATGTTTAATTGAATAATAATGATAATACTCTAGCAATCAGCATGGGAATTACAAGATGTGTGGAAGTATTAAGTGAAGTGTCTATCCTGTCTTTGATGATTTCATTGGTTCTGGTTTATGCAGGCTTGAGAGGCTGAAGTCTGAGGTGATCATGGCCGAGCAGAAGCTCTCAGAGCTCCAGTCGTCTTTGAGAGATGGAGAAAGAGAGCATTCTAACAGACAGAGTGAGCTAGATAGACTACAGGATCAGGTATGTGGTGTAGTCTGTTTCATGTCACTTTCTGTTGTGAATATCACCCTTACATGAAAGTAGGATATTGCACATTGAAAGAAAAAAAATCCCTGCTACCTTCTCTTTTGTGTAATAGGAAAAAAGGAGACATTTGTTACGCATATATGTATTAAGCAGAAATCAATTATATGTCTCACCATCATACTCATGTAGCTTGTATGGACATGTACATGTATGAAAAATGTTGTCTCACTTTGTATGAAAGGAAATACAAGACATACCCATGCTACTATTGGCTGTATCAACTTCTTGTAGCCGTTTTCTATTTTTAATTAAAAGCCTTAAAGCTTATCTGTACTAGTGTACGGGAGGGATTAGATCTCCCTGCAAGGTCACCGGACAGGTGGTTATCTCATCAACTCAGCTCTCAATTTACATTAAGAAAAAGAGGATCATGGGGGACCAATGGTCACCGATTATGCATTGTTTGTTATATAGAGGGCGCAAGTAGCTCTAAGTAGTGCAGTGGGGCTTTAATATAAATTGTCTGGCAATCGGTCATATATTAGCCCTCCATGTCTATCTAATATGTTTTTATTTATTTTTTGAATTTATTAATATTTTTGTATTAATGTTGTTTTGTTTTAGTTTGGTTTTGTTATCTTTGCTTGACATTATGCTATGAGTTTTTTGGGAAGTACGCTTGTACAAGGCCTAAGGGCTTTATTTATGTAGTTCCCCATTTCATTTCCTAAATTGTTTATGAATTATTTCATATCTTTTGTATTCAATGTAATTTTTTAATCGAGAATGAAAGAAATGAGAATTGAATTGAATAAAAGAAAGAAAAAACAAAATGTCCAACATTCACTTTTTCATCTTCCAGCTTGATGATCAGCAACATGCCCTGGAGAAGGTCAACAGGGAGATAGGGGCCAAGCAAACCGACCTTCGAACTTTGACCTCTGAAACCGACAAGCATCGACAGCAGCTTGTTTCAGCGCTACAAGAAGGGGAGAGTGAGATATCTGCAACTCAACAAAAGATCAAAGTAAAGAGCACCTGCTATCATACAAATCAATATTTATTGCAGATATTTTTTACTGTGCACTATGTTTCTTCAGTTCTATTCAATGTATGTAACCAAGATGTCGTCTCTTCTGTGCATATAATGTTGTAAAGTGAAGCATTACCAAGTGTGGTAATAAAGATGTATTAAAAATGAGTTGTTTATTGCAGGGTCAAGGAATATCCAATCCAATCTAATCCAGGTATTTATAATGAGCCAATATCTAGTTGCCTAAGCAAAGGTGCTGATGAGACTGAAAAACTACCAAAAATGTCTGTTCATGATTCTAACTGGAAAAGGCAAAAAAGCAGTAACTAATTGTAAGAAATCTGAAATAGGAATGTCTTTAGTTCAGTTCTGAAAGTGGATAACTGGTGAAGAGAGCAAAGGATTTGGGGAAGACCATTCCATAATCTTGATGCACAGGCAGTTAATGATCGATCCACTAGAAGACACAGTGTGTTTTCCATATTTTCCTATGTAGACAATTTTGACCTACCTTCTACATGTTCATGTAAACATGGTCATCCAGAAATATAAGTTGCCTTTTGTAGTTATAATAAAAATAAACATTGACATATTGTCTTGTACAAAGATCTTAAGTTGAACTTAACTCTAAGTTGGACTTAAAAATTATGGAGAGCTATTTGTAGTCTTTAAATAAAATATATTCAAAAGCGAAAATTCAAGTATTTTAGACTTTTATAAATTCCTCATCAAGAACATGAAATCTCCTTGATAATAGAAAATATGAATGATTTGAATCAACATTTGATGCCTTTAAAAATAACTTTTACAGAATATTTTCATAGATGCTAATGGCTGTCCATAATTGTTAAGTCCAACTTAGAGTTAAGTTCAACTTAGGATCATTGTGAAACACCCCCCAGGTCTTTGGAAACTTTAATGACTGTGCACCCACGTATTAAAAATTGTGTACTCTTCTGCATATAGGACACCAAGAACAATCTAGAGCGGTTGAGACAGCAGCGGCAGGAGACCAGCCAGGCTGTGGATCAACGGCGGGAGGAGCTCTCTCGCCTCCAGACCAGGCTCGCTGAGGCAGAGGGCGCCCACCACGATGTCCAGTCGGCCATCGAGAAGCAGCAGGCGGAGCTGAAGCACACACTGGAGATGGTGCACATTGAGAAGACGGAGCTGGAGGCGCTGAGGATGCAGCATGAAGCTAAGATGGCCGAGCTGGAGAAGACGCAGCTTGCGGCTCTCCAGGTCAGTTCAGTGTCTGGATAGCCCCAACTGTGATCCTTATCCTGACCCTAAACTTTCCCGAAATTAAATGAAAGCTTAATAATTAAATGTAGCCAAAACTTATACTGCCTTTAAAATTTACCCTAAATATGGAAGGAAAATATTGAGACTTCTCTCTACCTGCTACAAGACCTATTGTTTTTTCTGCTGCTGCTTTTGATTTTTAATGTTGATGGATAATTGCCATTGAATCAACTACATGTATACCAGCAATAACCAAGAACATAAAATTAATGTAAATCAGATTCAAATGTTGTGTTTTGCAGCGACAGTTGGCTAGTATATTTTCACTTTATTTCGCATCTGTATTATGTATAGAATACTCTGTAGTATTGAGAATATTTATTGTACCTCACAAAAGTATTCAACAAACTTAAATAATGCTAGAAACATTCACCGGCAAAGAGTCTAATTCCCAGTTTGTCTAATGCCCATTTTGTGGATACTGTCCATATTGTCTAACTGGTTATTAGGCTAAATGAACAACAGAGCAAATGGGTAGTAGACTTTTTGGAGCTAAGACCAAATGGAAATTAGACCAAATGGCTATTACGTAGCCTAAATGGTCATTAGACAACCAAAGATTTAGACCATGTGGATAGTAGCAGGCTAGGTGTAGACCAAAAGGCAATTCACCATCAGTTCTTACTGGGTCAGTACACTGAAGTAGAATGTCTGTGACTTTAAAGGGGCTGTAGCATGGCAAATACTGGTTAATGCCATCTACGACTTCTTTTAGACAACTGCACGTAAACGACTGGACTTCATTAACTGGGTCAGCGCGCTAGCATTCACGAAACAAACCAAACTTCTCCTCACGCTTCGGTTTCGCGTAATAATAATAATAATAATAGGCATTTCTATAGCGCCATCTAGGTCTACTGCATCCATAGTCGTATTGTACCCGATTGGCCCCAAGTCAGGCAATGGGAAAGACAAGTAGTCTCATCATGCTACACCCCCTTTAAAAAAAAAATTCTACTGCATTCCAGGAGAAAGCATCCCTGGAGAAGCTCAAGGAGGACAGCCAGAGGAACCGGACCGGTGCAGAGCTGATGAGGGAGGAAACGAGACGAGCCAAGGAGGAGCGAGAGCGCATCCTCTCCGAGAAGCATTCCCTGGAGGAGAGCATCGAAGGCCTCATGCAGGAGGAGAGTGCTCTTAAACAGGGATGCAACTCACTGGAAGTTAAGCTCAGCCATCTCAAAACGTAAGTAGCTCAAAATTTAACTACAACAAAAATTTTTAAATTTTTAAATTTTATAAGTTCAGTGTTCCACTTCAAGTATTTTGTAGCAAGAAACTTTTGTGATTGTTGGCCATTCACAAAATTTGCAAAGGTTTCATGTTAGAGTTTACATTAGCTAAATCAGCTTCTATGTGTGTTAGTTTTTTAGATTTTCAACCTCTTTCAGCACTGTAATTGATAGTTAAATTATCTTGAAATAACAACAAAATATACAAAAAGTTGGACAATAGTAACTTCCTCTCCTTTTTATAGGTAATGAGCTTGCAATAGTCCTTCTTTACACATTTATTGCAATATCATAGAGGTGATAGTTTTAATAGTGCTTCCTAAATTAGTTTCATAATACTAAATTGAGAATCTATACATCTACATGTATATTTAAATGCACCAACATTGTCTGTACACTACAAGTAGTACCTGCACTACAAGTATGTAATCATTAATAATACTGTGTTTACATTTTGCTTGTTAGGTTGACGAAATCTGTGTTTGTCATTGTAGGCACTACTTTTCCTAAACATTTCTTCTGATATATAGTTATTAAATTATTCATACCTTTACCAAGTTTTGTAATTTTTAAATATGCGAAAAACTGATTTGTCCCAATTTGTGCTTCCTGAGAATGTCACATAGCTTTCATCTAAAGTTATTCAACAAAGGCCCCTAATTCAACCAGTCCACCTTTCATTCTTGACGTATTAAGAAAAACACAAAAGATGTAAAATTCACAAGGGTATGAATAATTTAGTTGTTAACTGTATATGTTGTATTAATGTTCCAGAACTCATGGAAGCACTCTGGAATCTCTGCATCTCAACCAACACAAACTGGAAGGCTTCCAACAAGACCTAGTTGCCATGGAAACAGACCTGGAGGACACCAAAAGAAGAAAGTCTGAAGCAATGAGGGAGCTACAGAACCTTAAACAGCACATGAAAGGTTGGGATCTATTTATTATAATAGGATTGTATTTATATACATTCAAATCTGTAAGCTTTATTTTCAAAAGAATATTGGAACTCTCTCATTATGTTTTCATATTCATATTTGTTGGATTGTTGTTGTTGTTTTTTGTTGTTGTTTTTTTGTTTTTGTTCAAACTATGCTAGATATACAAATGCAAATATACAAATGCATGCCTGATGTGATATTCAAGAATTTGGGAGTACTTTCCTGCTACATGTATATAAAAGAATGTGCTGAAGATATAGCTATTAAAGGTCCACTGCACTACTTATAGCTCCTTGCGCCCTCTATATAGCAAACAATGCCTAATCGGTGCCTGTTGGTCCCCCATAATCCCTCTTTTCTTATGTTAATTGAGAGCTGATTTGATGAGATAACCACCTGTCAGTGACCATGCAGGGAGGTCTAATCCCTCCTGGCCAAACTAGTGCAGATGGGCTTTAAAGCATCCAGATGTTGCTTGTTGAGCTCTTGGTTTTATCTTATTCTTTTTCTTTTTTCTTTTCATATCAGAGGCCAAGTCTAACCTGAAGCATACAAACTCAGACCTACAAGGGGCAGGCAGTCAGCAGGTACGGTTACAAGAGGTATGTTTGTACATTATTGTGGGTTGGCCTAGCGGTAATGTCCTTGGTATGGTCAACTCCCTGTGTTCAACTACAAACTGACTCAGACGGGCCCTGCTTCGAGACTGAGTTATGTGTTTCTGATGGTGATGTTAAAGGTCTATCCCAAGACGATAATAATCATATCTGATTGATAAACGTCAGTCTGTAAAAACCCAAATTACACTTTATTCATGATAATGTCACTCCATATAAAGTCACAGTGAATTTGGAGTATGGCTATCTGAAAGGGTTCCCCCTAAATGGAGATGAACAAAGCGAGGTACCCATAGAACAAGACCTTGGACACCTTGCATAAAACTCACCACTAATGGTAACTTTGCCATCAATATTAACTACCATGGCAACATCACTCAACAGCCAATCAAATCAGGGTTTCCATTGAAATTACCATCAATGACACAGTTACCATCAATGCTAAGTTTTATGCAAAGGGACCCAGGTCCCAGGGTCTTATCAATTGAAGCATTGTAAAAAGTGATGTTACCAAATGATTCAATTATCTAATAAAAATACTTTTACTTATAAAGGGATGTTACAAAAATTCCTTGAACTGATTAGAAGCTTGTATTAGCACTGCAAAGTGGAAATATCATACATTAAGAATTTTACATTCAGACAATGGCAAATTGAGCCTCTTTCATCTTTAAATGCATTTATATCTATCTAGACCTCATCCTTACATTTCAATATCATCTTTGAATGCTAAGCCTGAGATAACAGGTCTTGTAAGGTATTGAAACTGTGTCTTCTTCCAAAATCAGATGATAAACAACATGTTATTCGTAATTTTCATATACCAGGAGATACAGGAACTTGTGAAGCAGAAGGTCCAGCTGTCTTCTCAGTTAGACCAGCTCTCTGAGGTCCTGGACCAGCATCGTCGGACCCTAGAATCGTGCGAACAGCAGGAGAGAACCAAACAGGAAGCCCTGAGCATGATGGGAAGGGAGCTGGAGGAGAAGAGAAGAGAGTTTGAGGGACGTCAGAGAGATCTGGAGAAGGTGGCCGAGAGGGTCGCACTGGAGGAGGACAGACTTTCAAAGGTGACCTAATTTTATTAACTGAGTTATGATATGATATACAGCTCAACCTGTATATAAAAGGCACTGGAGGCATACTTCAAAAGTGGCCACTGTAGACAAAGTGGCCCTCGAGACAGGTTGTTCTGCACAGATGCCTCCCTAGACCTGTGTTAGTGGCCTTTACAGACAATTGAATAGTAGAATGTATGAATAATGTTAGTGAAAAAATTATGGATGTTTTATGCATAGCAGAAAGAGAAAAGAACCAATCTACTTCTCTGTGGTAGACATGTGACTGGTATGAAATTACTGTGATTGAACAGCTGATACAGCATTTTCTCACACTCAATAATTTTACTAGACCGCCATTCACTTAACTATCCAAGACCTCAATAAGAAGGAATCTAGACTTTTATAATGTTACCTAATGTTATTTTAAGTTTCCCAAATCTAGTTTTAGTCAGGTTCTAAAGGTGTGTTTCAGCCTTTTAAATTGTGATCTCAAGTATGTCGCACAAGCTCTACACACGTCACAACTATACCTTATTCCTGTGCAGACAACTAGAAATCATGAAGTGGCGAGAGCTCAGCTCAGTATGTGACATGGATCTTGACAGAGGCTGCCGTTCGAAACTTGTATCAATATAAATGTTTTATCTCAGTTATGTCCTAGACTTTTAACTTTTACTCAATGGTCTTTCCAGGTTTCCAGGCAGACTGCTAGAGATCAGCAGACAATAAGAACTCAGCAGAAAGACTGCATCCAGTCTAGATTACATCAGAATCAAGAAGGTGTCATTCAGTATGATGAACTGAAGAATAAGATTCAAGATCTTGACTTGAGGGTGTGGTTTGAAAATTATATCTCAATTATGTCCAAGACTTTTAACTTTTATTCTACCGTCTTTCAGGTTTCCAGGCAGACTTCTAGAGATCAGGAGACGGTAAGAGCTCAGCTCGAGAACCGACAGAGAGAGCTAGAGACGCTGACCCAGCAGAAAGACTCCATTCAGTCTAGGTTGCATCAGAATCAAGAAGATCTCGTTCAGTATGATGAACTGAAGAATAGGATTCAAGAGCTTGGTAGGTTCAGGCTTACAGGAGGTCATTCAACATTTGTTCATGTGACAATTACCTGTTTGCTTTGTCAGTTTCTATTTCATTAAAAATACAGGGCTAGGGTTAGGGTTAGAGAAGGGTTAGGGACATGTTCGGCAGAGTTAGGATTAATTTAGGATTAGGTTTAGGGTTAGGGACGGGTTAGTTAGGATTACGGTTGGATATCGTGTGTGGTTTAGCATTTCAGTTATGAATTAGGGTTAGGGTTAGGTTTATGGTTAGGGACAGGTTAGTTAGGGCAGTATTAGGATTAGAGTTGAGTATCGTTTGTAGTTTAGCATTTAAGTTATGAAGTTGGTTAATGTAGGTAATGGAAAGGGGTTTATTAGGTTAGTCAGGGTTAGGTTAGTTAAGGAATAGATTAAGGGTTAGGAACAGTTCAGGATTAGAGTTGGGTATCGTTTGTAGTTTAGCATTTAAGTTATGAAGTTGGTTAATGTAGGTAATGGAAAGGGGTTTATTAGGTTAGTCAGGGTTAGGTTAGTTAAGGGATAGATTTAGGGTTAGGAACAGTTCAGGATTAGGGTTGGGTATCGTTTGTGGTTTAGGGTTTAAGTAATGAAGTTGGTTAATGTAGGTAATTAAAAAGGGCTTAAGACAGGTTAGTCAGGGTTAGGTTAGTTAAGGGTTAGGAACAGTTTAGGATTAGGGTTGGGTATCGTGTGTGGTTAAGGGTTTAAGTTATGAATTTGGTTAATGTGAGTAATGGAATAGAGTGAAGTACAGGTTAGTTAGGGTTAGATTAGTATAAGGAACCGTTTAGGATTAGGGTTGGTATAGTGTGTGGTTTAGGGTTTACAAGACAAAGTCAGTTCATGTAGGTGATGGAGTCGTAGCAATTGCTGCCGAAGCATGTGTTCTGTCGAAATAATTGTTTATCTTTGTTGAATTCAGTTACAATATAAGTCTCCTTTGGGTTACAAATAAAATTAATGAGATGTTTTGATTAGTTATTAGCTGCGATTTGTTAGCTTTTGTAAACAAAGGATCATATACTTGCACACAGAAACTCTCCATATCATTCTCAGGAAGAGATTAATCCATCATAATCCATTACATTGTTTTTTATGTCTTTAATTGTCAGAAAATGAAATTTCAGATCAACAAGAGAAAGGAGAGAAGTTAAAGGATGAACTTGAAGCAGCAAGAATGAGAGTAGGCTCACTTCAAGAGGTAAGATTGTTTTTGGAAAATGGTAGTTCAGAGACAGTTCAGCTCGCTCTAAGTGCGTTCAATCACATCCTGGCTCAAGGGTTATAAAACCCAAGCGCCTTCCTGCCACTCCTTATTCCCGTTCAACCTCAACGCTTCAAGCTGTGCTGATCAAGACATTCAAGTGAATCCCCCATCACACCAAACTAGTTCCGTAAAATGTTGCCATACAGGCTCAAACTGTATTGAGGACTGTTTATGAACGATCTAGGATCATATTATAGACATTATTTGTATATTCTACCCCGACCATAACCTGTTTTTACGATTTTCTAGGACGGTTCCAGAACGTAGTGAGAACTAGTTTGGTGTGATGGGGGCTTTAAATCCAATTGAGCTTGAATATATATCTTTTTAAACAAGAACAACATGAGACTATATTTAACACATTTCTTTCCAATTTCCTTTTTGCTACCACAACTTTTCACAAGCTTTAATCTAGAAAGACAGCAGAATTTGAAAAGCCTCTTCATTGATGATTGAACACACATGTCCTTAACTTTAAACACCAATGCCTTAACCATCTGTGAACAACTCATCTACTGCAGTGTTAATAATATTTGTTTTCAGTGGCAAGATCAACAAATTAGTCACGTTCCCAAAATCATCCCTTTCTGTGTTTGTGTTTTTTTGTATGGTGATAACAGGAGAAAGAGGCGATTGAGAGAGAGAAGAACCAGTCAGATCAAGAAAATGAACAGATAAGAATGAAATGGAGCGGTGCTCGAAAGGTAATGACTTGAAATTTATAAATGCAAGTGTCAATTTATTTTATATTGCTGTATTTATTACTCATGCACTTCACTGTGACCACAATTCATTGGTCAGTACTCTTTAACTTTAAACAATCTGACAGTCAAATGTATGTTTTGTAAATGAAAAATTATCCTTTAGATTCTTACTATAAAAAAGGGTCTGAAACATAATTAGTCTAAAGCAAATGATATTTATTCCACACGTGATAAAGTTTTGAAAATATTTCTTCCATCTTTGTTCATTTGAATGAATGACGTTGTGCTTAAGATTTTCCTCTAGTTCCCATGTTTTACTTCTCTTCTTGTCTACATGCCAGTGTTAAGTTGTTGTTTACAATGATTTTTTTTCCACAGGATTTTAGAGCCGAGCACAGGAAGCTGACTCAGGAGATTGAAACTCTGAAGGTGAGGCTGGAGGAGGAGTCTAAGCATGCCAGCAGGATGAGTAAAGAGGTGGAGAATTGGAAACAGGAATACCTCATCACTAAGCAACAGGTAACAGTCAACCCTGCTTTAGAAAGACCACCTCTTTGTGGAGGTGTCATAGTCGGCTGTTGTAATCACTTGACTTGAAATGCAAAGGTTGTGGGTTCAAGCCTTGGCACGGCACTTATGTCTTTGAGCAAGGCATTCTATCTAATATTTAATTTAATCTACGTTGCTTCTCTCAACACAGTGTTAATTGGATACCTGGTAGGATGCGAACTTCATAGTTGAATTAGCATGTGTGTACCTGTAGAAAGGAGACTAGCTGGAATGCTCCTCAGGGAGTGGTGAATGTGCAGGATAGTAATTGAAACCAGTGACCGTGGTAATAAGAATAGTGTAGAAACTATAATGTATGATTAGAGCTAGACGGGTGCTAAATCTGTGTTAAATAATATAAATCCTCATCCTTCTGCCTCAAAGAAGTAAATTTTTGTTGATTCCTTTGAAGTGTTTCTGATTGATACCTGTACGAGAACAACCTTTCCTTAAAGGCCATTTGTCTGTAATTATTAAAGATCACTTTTTGTTCTCCAATGAGCAGTCTTAACATACACTGTACAGGTTTGAATGAAGAGGGCAACAATGAACTATACAACTTTGGGATGCCTCTATATTCAAGTATCCCCTTTTTTGTTTTACCTTTCTCTAGCTCCATACCCATGAGGAGCTAATGGAAAAGGAGAATAAACAAGACTACCAGCTCCAGCATCTAAAGGAGGAGATCCACACAGGGTTCAACGAGGGCTTATGCACCCTGGTGATGTCATTTAACGGCTGTTTCCCTACCATTTCTAGAGTTTTTATCCCACTCTCTCTTTAACCTTTCTCCAGGTCTACACCCACAAGGAGCTAATGGACCAAGAGATCACGCTTGACTCCCAGCTCCAGCATCTAAAGAAGTAGATACAGAGAAGAGGTCAACAAAGAATTATACAACTTTTGGATGCCTCTATGTTCAAGTCTCCCTGTAATTCCCAGAGTCTTAACCATTTTTTTGTTTTAACCCTTCTCCAGCTCCATACCCACGAGGAGCTAATGGATCAGGAGAACAAGCTTGACTCACAGCTCCAGCATCTAAAGGAAGAGATCCACACAGAGGTCAACGAGGGCTTGCGCACCCTGGAGATGTCTCGCTTGGAGGTCCTCGATGAGCTCCAAGAGGTCCACCACCAGAAGGCTGAGATCAGCAAGAAATTGACGTCCTTCAAGCAGGTAAATAGAGGACACTTCCCAACCTGCATAACCAGAATCTTCTAGAAAATTGTCAGTGATAGCCATTGTTTGTTGCAAGAAATTTTGTAATTAGCAAATATTTGATTTTTGATTTATCCTCAACAATATAACTTATAAAAAAGAAGAAAGACACTTAATGTAAAGTCCAGAATAAAGAAGGTTGGGCTAGGATTGATTTTAAGGTTTGACTATGGTGTCTCTAAAAAAAATTCAAAAATGTGTCACATACTATGTCATTAATTTGCTTGATCTTGTTCATGAATATGTTAGCTGTTCAAACAATATTCAAGCAGAATTGCGCATGAACTGTGCAATAAAGTATACATTGGCCAATGAGACATGCACAGTTTACATAGATTTTTATATTATTCGATGTTCTGTGTACCCTAATTTTTTTACTTTTCCAGGTTAAAATGTCAGAGATCAGCGCTCAAAAGGAGAACAGTAAACGAAAGCATATTGACTTGGAGTTTCAGCTGCAACAGGAGCAAGATTTACTCAAGGTTAGTGTCATATTTGATCCATATGGTTTATTTCTGGAATTAATCATATTCAAGATTAATAAATTTTCAGGTATCAACATTCATTTTATGTCTGCATGTATATATATGTTGCCCATAAAGGGTAACCAAAGGAATTCAATTTAAAATGTACATTACATGTTGCGGCGACGATTGCTATTGGCATTCCATTTCACACTAGTCACATTCTGAATCCTTGCAATGCTTGTTGATTTCTTTGGCGCCTTCATGGTTCTCAAGGATCGTCCTAAAGTAATTGTATGACTAATAGACTTGAAAGAATCGTGAAAATGTCCCATTTTATAGGTACAGAATTTGCCAAATTGGAAACATGTTTATATATAAAAATTGTCTACCTTCATTTATCCATCAAGTTGAGACTTGAGCAGCAGATGTCTCGTCAGTCGGAGGTTCTGGCCGGGATCAAACAGAAGTCAGAATCGACTATCCAGTCATTACGTCACAAGCTGAACCACCTCGAGGAGCTAGTCAGCAGCAGCTCCTCCCATACCCGGAGTCTGAGAGTGAGCCAGAGCATCGTACAGAGACACAACGTCAACCGGAACATAGATCTAGTTCCACTCCAGAATGAAGGCGACGAGAGTCGAGGGGTGGAGAATAGCTGTTTGGATCCAGGCCTGAATTACAAACAGAATGTGGAGGTTCAGTACGAAAGACGTATTACCTCAAGGACGAGACAGTTTGAAATGCGACATGAAAACAGCGCTCATGGCGATGCTAGTGAAAGAGGACAAGGCAGGGTCGACCAGATGGACGAGGGAGCTCTTTCAATAAATGAACTTCAAAATCAAGATGGCGACTTGCAAAGGCATCCCTCACTTCGTGGTGAGGATAGTAATGCAGGGAAGGGTGACCATGGAGATAGGAGCAGTCGTCCGAAGGGGATCCTCAAGCGTAAAACACCCTTGCAGGAAGAAGGAGGTACTCTAACAGAACACGAGGAAAGAGCGAGGGGTACTACTGGTCTCGATGGAGAGAGGAATCGACGAAGGTCCGAAGAAGTAGCGGGATCAGAGAGTGAGGTATGTGTACGTCTTTTTTTTCTTTCTAATCATAATGCTCTGTGACATGTAGTCAGTCATATGCCAGTTTATAATGGAAAAGCCGCAGGACTAAAACTGCTGCTTTTTAAACCATAGCAGTTCAGAGTTAACTTCTTTTCTAAATTAATCACTATTCTTCATCAAATTAGCAACAGTTTTTTTTCCATTCCTTCATACTTGTAAATGTAAAAATCTCCATTGCAATGTGATTTATGTCTTAATGGTCCGTGCTTTAAACGATGTCTATCCTGTCTCTATACACGTGCATGTTTATTTTAATTTTGATTTGATAATCTTTTGAAAGGAGAAAGAATGGATGCCAATGACTGGATGGCTTAGAGAAAGGCCTTCTTTTGCAATGGAAGTTAAATAATAATGATAAAGGAAATCATTTAAATTGAATATGAATCAGAAAAAGAAATAATTGTCCCTATATCTATATTGAATTATCTATTGTTAAGATATCTGTAAATAACTAAATCTCACTATTTCTTTTTGTTTGACAGGTGACCACATCTCAGCGTTCCAGGTCTCACTCATACAGGCATCATAGGAGAAAAAGCAGGTCACCAGTCGGGCGTCAACCCCTCTCACCTCTATCTCCACAGGTCCCCGAGAGAGGGCCTCCTTCAGGTCAACACTGTAAGTAACCATATTCTTAAAGGCCGATTCAACCTTTGTTATGAGTTCATTCGGCTATCGGCTATAACAACATTTCCATGCGATAAAGTACCAAGTGCATCATTATAAAACTGTAAAAAAAATTCCCAATAACAGAGTTAGGTTTTCTATAAATAACAGCCACTGTTCAATGTATATTTAAAGGTCTGTCCAAGTGTAAGATCTACAACTAGATATTCACTAAAGGTATAAGTGAAAAAAGAAAAGGAATGATTTGTTTGTTAATTTTGTCTATTTTGTCTTTCCCCGTTTTCAAACTTTCTTTTAGGGTCGCATTTTATGGATTCTCTCAACCAGCTGAAAGATCAGAAAGTTGCTCAACTGAACACCAATGCATGGGACTACAGATGACACCAGCCATCCCATTATACAGACAAACCTGTTTAAAGCAACCACCTGAATAGTAAAAACCACCTTTCTATAAGGACCACATTTTTTTGTTTTCCTTGAACATGTTCTCCCATTGAAACCTGTACTCAAGGAACCGGTACATAAAGACCACCTGCCTATAAAGACCACCTTCCATGTTTCCCTTAAGTGGTCTTTATGTACAGGTTTCATTGTAGTGTACATAAGCTTTAGTGCAAGATACAAATTTAAATGTGTGTTACATTTATACTGAGTTTATTTTTAATTGTATTCATCAACTGCTATATCAGGGGTCAGAGGTCAGAGGTAAACCAGAAGAGACTCTGTCATTGATGCATGTGATTGTACCACAGGGTTGTTGGTCTGTTTCCTGGAAGGGGGCCGGACCCTATTTCATAAAACTTGTTATCAATGACAACCTACAATAGTTGTTATAAGCTACTCAAATCCTTGCATTTGATTGGCTGTGAGCATATTTGTGGCAGTTGTTGTTGATAACAAGTTTTGTGAAACAGGGCCTCGGTCCATCTCTTTCTGTACCGGCATTCTACAAGGTGCAATTCTCAGAACAACAATTTGCATGTTAGAATTATTATTATTATTGTGCAAGGAAATATAATTGGTGAATTAAGATGTGCTCAAATTGAATTGTAGCGAAGTCCAACTATTAATGATGTCATAACTAGTCATAACCAATTACATGGTTGTACCTTAAGTTATTAACCGAATAGTTTTAGTATATCTGGGGCCCGTTTCATAAAACTATATAACAAATGCTAAATTTCTATGACAAATTTGCTCTCAGCCAATCAGATGCCATGATTTCAGTAGCTTATAACAATAGCTTGTAACTTGTTATTGATATCAAGTTTTATAAAACAGGGTCCTGATCATTACAGCAAGTTGATAGCCCTGCTAGAGCTCTGGACCCTTTTTCATAAAACTTGTTATCAATAATGTGACGTAGGAAAATGATGAAATGTAGTTCAAGCTTCTACCAACCTTGAATTTTGTTGGGCAAGCTTCCGTCCGTTCCTGTGGACTTTCTCAAGCTAACTGATCAGTCACACTGTTCTTAGCTGCACTGCCTGGTGTCCTGCGATAACTGGACCACAGATAGGTGACAATAGGTACCCAGAGTCCCTGTTTAGTGGAAAATGATGCTCAACACAGATTGTTGCATTTACTTTCAGAGATGCCAACCCTCCCGATTTTATCGGGAGGCTCCCGATAATTCACCCCAACTCCCGACCTTACGATCACCATCCTTATCCTCCCGATTTATTAAAAAAAAAAAAAAAAAAAAAAAATGATTTTTTTTTTTTTTTTTTTTTTTTTTTTTTTTTTTTTTATTATGATTTTTTTTGGAGGGCGCTTATCAGTATATATATCTGTGAATTGAAAGAGAAATATCATCTGCTAACTTAAGCATGTAATAATTCCACTATGTTAAAAGACAAATTAAGAGTAGCGAAAGATTGTTTCAGCATATGGATCGCCGTAACCAATGCGTGGATATTGCCACAGAATCCAAATGGCGGAAAATCAGCAAAATAAGACCAGGAAATGGTCTCGGAAGTATAAGACCGAATACAGTATCAAGTACCTGTGTAATCGGAAGTCTGAAAGTAATTCATCATGCATTTTGTACAATTTTTATGTTATTTAAAAAAAAAGGGGGAATTATTTAACTAAATACACATGTAAAATGCTCCAAAATAAGGCTCAGATTGCACCAGAGAGCATCTAGAACCCCAGAGCTTCCAGGGCCCTAAGGCGGGCCCTGGACCCCGGCCGCATGTGTCGGGCGCTACGCGCTCGAGATGTGCGCTACGCGCACATTAATTGGTGTCGATTACAAATCCTCCCTATTTCTGATTTCCAAAAGTTGGCATCTCTGTACTTTACTCTGTTGGTCCAGCAGCATATTCAGTGTCGATTCTGTTCTTCCTGCTGGGTTAAAAGTGTAGTCACCAGCTGACCTTGTCTCTGTAAGGCTTCTAGGATTAACGACATGCTCGGGCTGTTAACAGCGCTCGCCCCTGTTCGTGGACTTCTGAGCTCTGCCATCTGCCTTCCTCCCGCTAGTGCCCTGTCCTCATTTTGCGTTTCCTAGAACCATCAACCGGTTCAATTTCATACACATGCCCTGTTGGGTTCCTTCTTTCGCTGATGCGGTATGGCCTTTCTTGCCATATGTCTTGGATTTTATGCCTTCCCTTCTTAGCCTGCTGACGTAGTAACACTCTCTTTAAATGGTTTTGCAGTTGGGGGCAGTTCCTCTTAAAGTGGTCGGTTGCTCCACACAGTAAACTCCACCAGAAATTCAGAAATTGAATTTCACCACTAAGCCTGGACAGGAAATATCTCTAATTATAAATCTATATCAAAATATACCTCCTGTGTATCATGCAATTCCGGTCTCATGCTGAGGTTTGCGGAGTAAACATTATATACTTCATCCCGCCCAAGTCCAACAGTAATTCTAGCCAAATCCCAGTTACATACCAGAACTCTCAGTATAAAACAATACAATATCCATTATACCAAACATGCACACAGTTACTGCGAATAATCCAAAATCTTATCAGCTAAATTAGCCAGCTCAGGAAGCAAAAGCACGTCGTTTGACGAGGCAAGAATGAGCCTGATATTTTGGGGCAAGCGCTGCAAAAATAATTCGCGCAAAATTCCCTTCTCATGCTGCTGCATGCCAAGCAGCTGCTGCATTCGTCTGAGAAGCCTAGTTCCTCCTCGTTCACTAACATTCGCACGCGGCGCTGTTCTGAGGAGGACATTCGCGATATCAATAGAGCACGTAGCTCTGTATACGGCTTGGTAGGGGGCGGACTGATCAACATGTCGCAAACTTCCAGCGCGACCTCCAATGGTAATGTTGCTATAACTAGTGTCTGGTGATGCCTCTGTGCGGCTGCCTGCGCAAACCACGCTTCCAGGTCCCACTTCCAAAAAGGGGGCAGCTTAATGCTGACTGCGCCCACGGCGCACATGCCTTGGGTGGTATTTGTTTTGGTCATGACGCCGTGCCATGTCCACTGTTCACAAAACTAAATTCAATAAGTGTATCGGCAAGTAAAATGATTATCTGAAGGCAAAAATAATAATAAGCAAACAATGTGAGAAAAACGATCATAATGTATTATTCTCACTGCACGGAGAATGTAAATTGTTGTCAATGAAGAACACAAGAGTCAAAAATATATCTTGCAAAAGTACAAAACGTAATCGGTGAGCAAGCTAGCTATAGCTAGTCCACCGGGAATGGTCCAGGGACGAAGTCGTTCAATCCTCGTTGGATAAAATTTGACCGGTACAATAAACACTACACAATAACAATCTGTGTGTACAAATATTAAAAAGCCCACTGATTCCCACACAGGAAAAATCAGAAAAGCCCCAATCACGACTGCAGCGTGATTGGTTAAAACAAGCACACATCTATCTTAATTAATCATGTGATCGAAAAACTTATGAATAAACGTCATTTAGTTAATAAATCCAGTTTGAACCAGTTCCGAAGGTATGGCGTAATACCAAAATCCTCAAACTCCCTACAACTTCTGAGGTAGCCATTTTGAAAACACAGTGAATTAAAATTGATTGACACTGTAACATCAGTCACTACACACTTAAAGTATTACATTAAAAGATCATGTCAAGAAAATTACCCTAACCAAACACAATGTAGCTCTTTAGAAAACTTCTGAACCATCAAACTGGCTTAGCTACAACACTCATAAAATACACACAATCGTTGCATTTTAAATCTACTTCCATATTTACAAGTTTCCAGACGTCTGTGTCCGAGCTGAGCTAAAGAGATGAAGAAGCTGCACAGAAAGCCACGGCCTGCGCTTGTTGAAGTGATGAAATCACTGATCTTCTCCGGCAGCCACTGAACCTCTCCAATTTGCGCCCTGATGATATGTAGACCGTCCTTGGCATGGGGTTAGCTGTTCCTTGTGGGGAAAATGTCTCCTCCTTGGACATATCTTGCCAAAGTCTCTCAACCTCTTCCTTTTGACCCTTTACTTCCTCAATTTGTTTCATGGCATGTTTTTGACTACATTCAATTTCCCTGACATTTCGTTTTGTAGAAGAAAAATCTGTTTCAAGTAGATTGAAATTAGACTACATAATATCTAGCAGTGTAATGACGCATGTACGGTACTTAATATTGTCATCAGTCCCATTCGCAGTCTTTTCGTTGGGTGGCTGTTCAGGTACCGGAAAAGCCATTTTTCCCTTAATTCACATAGATTTTCTTGTCTGTCCACTTGATTCCACAGGCTTTGTGTCCAGTTCTATCAGATATCTATCCAGTTTGTCAATATAATTACCTCAATACAAGATAAAATAGAAAACTTATTCAGTTTTGACGAAATTGAAAGCTCAAAGAACCATGAGAGCAGAGAGTTGACGAATATCATTCCAACTTAAACGCCTATTTATGAATTCGAATGCAACTCTGATAAAATTGGGTGGGAAAACTATAGTAAAACAAAATTACCTCAATTTTGGTTGACACCAACCCCTGTAGACCATTGTCGTCTCTGGTGACAGCCGTCACCAGTACAGACACTCCTTGTACTACCTCTAGATTAGCGCTTTCGCCCCAAAGTGTGACTGGTATAGATTGAGTGTCGTCACCCAGCTGTCTCAGAGTGATCACGCGCCTTTTGTATGCTGCAGTTTTGACAAGTTGGCCTGCCTGCAAAACCGTGCAAAAGACCATAAACAAGTACATCATGTATTTAATTTGAAAAATACAAAAACTTTTACAAATAATAATAGTGTGTTTTTGTATAGCACTCATGTCCGTCACACTTGGCACTCCTGGTTTTCCCGAAGGAGGTGTTTATGTTCTTTGGAGCATGCTCAGCCTTCACCTCTGCCTGTGCAGAATTTATCTCATTTAGTCACTGATGGCGAGTGGCTACACATGTAGGCTGTAGGCCTAATTTATATATTTTTTGTTTAAATTTATTAAATACATACCCACTGACTCGGCTCAGTCAGTGACTAGACATGCCAAATTAAAATAAATTTGCCAAAATTTTCAATTCAACATTTGTGCGGGGCTTTTCAGTTGACTGTATGTAAATTTTAAAAACGCCATGGGTTTTTAATATCAGAGCTCATTTTGACAACAAAAACCTGAATTCTATGCATGCATATTCTCATGCAAATTGCAATGGCAGTATAGGGCAGTACAATCAGCATTAATACAGTGTCACCGCTACTACTACTTACTACTCACGTACCTAGCTGCCTGTGGAACAGTCCAAAATCGTGCGGTGTCACAGAATTCAGGCGATGACAATCTAAAACTGTCTCAAATAGATTGGCGTAATATCAAAATCCTCAAACTCCCTACAACTTCTTAGGCAGCCATTTTGGATTAAAAACACAGTGAATTAAAATTGATTGACACTGTAACATCAGTCACTACACACTAAAAGTATTACATTTGAAAATTATGTCAAAAAAATTACCCTATAAACCAAACACAATATAGCTCCTTACAAAACTTCTGAACCATCAAACTGGCTTAGCTACAACACTCATAAAATACACAAAATTGTTGCATCTTAAATCTACTTCCATATTTACAAGTTTCCAGACGTCTGTGTCCGAGCTGAGCTAAAGAGATGAAGAAGCTGCACAGAAAGCCACGGCCTGCGCTTGTTGAAGTGATGAAATCACTGATCTTCTCCGGACGTCCACTGAACCTCTCCAATTTGCGCCCTGATGATA